ATAAACAAATTTCTGAATCTTTTGGGATATTAATTCCAATTAGTAAATTATAATTGATTTCTCTATGAATAACTCAGAAAATTAGGAAAGAATATCTCCATATCTCCATACTAGTACTTAGTTACCGTCGTTAGACAAAGTCGAAATCAGTAAACTTTAAACAACACTTTATATCATTAAAAAGACCACTCAACACAAACTACAGTCCTCATATCTTCTAAACTAGATCCTCTTCAATGAATCAAAATTTTATAATCAATAAACTTCAAAAAATCTGTTATGTTTAACAGCTTACTCTCTTGTCATACTATTAATTCATATACTTTATTACTCTAAGTCTTAATCATATAAACACTTAACGGCTTCTTAGTTACGACTTACGAAACAATCGATTTGAGTAAGTAGACTAGTATAGCTGAATTCATTTTATTACCTATATTTCGTAATTTATTTACATGCGCCTATTTATTCATTGTCATCAGTTGCTCTTTTTACATGTATCTCTCAAATATTATTATAACTCACTTACATACGCCTGTTACTCCCAATAGAGCATAGGCCACCGACCAGCATTCTACAACCCACTCTGTCCTGGGCCTACCTCTCCACTTCTATCCAATTTTTGTCCATTTTTCTCATGTCTGTCTCCATTTATCGTGTAATGTGTTTTTTGATCTTCCCCTCCTCATGTGGCCTTGAGGATTTCATGTGAGGGCATTCCTTGTGATGCATTTGGATACTTTCCTCTATGTGTGTCCTATCCACTTCCAGCACTTCTTCCTGATTTCTTCCTCCACTGGAATCTAGTTTTTTCTCTCCCACATTAGGTCGTTGCTGATAGTGTCTGGCCAACGGATTCGAAATATTGGTGTTATCCGTATTCTTACTTATCCATTCTTCCATACCCTTAAGTCTTCTTGTGACAGTTTGAATTGGTATACATATATGTTTAATATTGCTTTAAGATATCTGTTTTTAAATATTGGTGACGTTAACTACATTCTATGTGAACATATTTTAAATTTAGTAGTAGAAAACTTTTGTGAAATAATATCAGGCAGATGCCAAAGTATTAATTACATTCTTCCAATCCCCACAACAACACATAAATTCAACTTAAGAGGATCAGATCCAGACATGATATCCTGCAAAAACCGAATGACTTAATATACTTTTAGAATTCAATTAACACTCGAGTTTTCAAAATGTACTTTTTAAAAAACTTTTCAACACCTTTGGTTAGAAATGTCACGTAATCTTATTTCCTGAATTAGCATTTCTTAGTATCATGTACATATGATTCAAAAATGGTATCATGGGGAAAATCCATAAATATATATAAATAATTAATCACTTATTCATTTACATTTGTTACCTCTCATGGAGGAACACAGGCCACCCATTAGCAGTGTCCATTTAACTCTGTCATGGACAATACTTTCCAGTTCTTTTCAACTGCTATTCACTCTTTTCATGTCTGCTTCCAATTCCAGACGTAGTGTGTTCTTAGGTTTTCCACTTTCCCGTTTCCCTTCAGAACTTCAAGTTTGGGCTTGCCTCGTGACTCAGTTTTATGATTTCCTCAACGTGTGTCCTATCCACTTCCAACGTCTTTTCCGAATTTCCTCTTCAGCTTGAGTTCATTTATTCTCTTACACAGTAGGCTGTTACTAATGCCATCCGGTCAACGGATATTGAGTATCTTGTATCGACAAATATTTATAATTACTTGTACCTTTTTGATGATGGTTGTAGTAGTTTTCCACGTTTTAGCTCCGTACAATAGAACTGTGTTGACGTTCGTACTGAAGATTCTGACTTTGATGGAATTATATTTCAAATGTTCAACTATTTTCTTTGCACAAGTTTGTCTACTTATATGAAACATAAGTACCATAAATGATTTCTTGTAAATTTAGGTATACTTTTCGAGAAATCTAATATCACTGTCAAGGGAATGACTCGACAAAAATCAATACACCGTATTTTGGAACATTAAGTAAACAAATCACAAAAGTAATCTTGATAAGGCAATTTACTTGCAAAGTTGAAATGTTTTGAGTATTTTGTTCTCTATTAGAAGTCAGAAATATGTTATAAACCAAACACAATAGGCATCAATACAAAAATTTAACTTGATAATTTTAAACAAATTGAGAAGCAGTGGTCAGTGGAGTTAAATCGAACCTGTTATGAGATAGTAACACACTGAAGACAATGGTGGACATATTGCTCGATTTCATGGATTGGTTCAAATTAGGCATTAACACCGCTGGATCCAGGCCAGTTCAATGGTCTAGAGGTTAAGCATTTGCACACAATTCCGATAAGTCTTGAGTTTAAATCCATGAAACGGGATGGTGGATGCGCACTACTAAGGTGTCCCACACCAGTACAAAATAGCCGTTCAAAGCTTCTAAGTTCTCCATGGTTGTCTAGCTTCAATTAACTCATAATCTCAACTATTAAATTGAGAATTGCATAAAAAATTAATAGTAAAATAATGACATACTTTTGATATCTTAATGAGTTGAGTTACTGTAATCCAAGTCCTTAGATTAAATAAATAAATGATCGATTTAAATGAACATAAAGCAATAAAGGTAGAATACTTAGTTAAATCAAGAATATAAAATAAAAAAGTGGTCTATGTGGGGTGAGGTCATGAATTGTTTTTTTTTGTGGAGGTCAACATTAGTCTACATAAAACATTCCTGTATATTTGTGCATATAAAGGTGATTATGTGAAAAAAATAATTGATAATACATTTACTATTTAAGCTTAGTTCATTCATCTAACTTGGACTATGTATTTAAACAACTAAATGATGTTATGTTCACTGCTCCAAAAAAATTTAAAATAAATAATTCAATAAATAAACAGTTGACATGCACCCATACAATCTCCATACTATAAAATTTCACATTTTTTCCATAACCACTTTTATTTATACAAAGATATACAGAAATGTTTTATACAGATTAAACAATTCATAACATTGAAATAATCAGAGTATATTTAGTTTTGATTTTGTTTAAACTAAGTATTATTATATTTATAATTAATGGCTTTATTCAATATTACATTGTTTTTGACACAATATAGAATTCTTAGCATAAAGTAGTTCAAAAAGTTTCCATTTCTTATTTCTTGGTTCATTCTGAAGATAAATATTGAATGATCATTAGATAGAAATTAGCAGTCAAAGAATTGATATCTGAATAATGTTCATAGGTTCAAAAATAGGTTACATAACTCGAAACCTTCATAACAATGAGTCATGTATTTTGATGTACAAAGTTTGTGTTCGACCACTTCTAGAATATTGCAAGTTTATTCTTAAAAGTACGTGCATAAAAGATAAATTAAGACTGAAATCAGTACAGAGACGATTTACACTTCCTATTCTTGCAACCGATTGTACCTCGAGTTATAATTCTAGATCTAATAAACTTGGATTCAGCCGCTTATAGAAAAGAAGACTCAAGATAAATCTTATTTTTTTGTTCAAACTACTTATTAAACTATCGGTTACATCCAATTAAGCAATTCGATATGCAGAAATTTCTCATTAAGACATCCATAATCCCTTGTCACTAGTGAAACAAGTTCATTCTATATCATCTGTCTATATGAACTACTTTACCTGTAAATTGTACAGACTATGGAATAATCAACCACAATCTATCCGTACGATAAAGTCACTGTCATTTTTTGTTTCATGCATTGATGCATACTGTTCCCCTGAAAATGCATTAAATTTTCTAACACCTGTAAGTGTATCTTATTCCACAAGTGATGTTATCAAAACTTTCAATATTTATCCATTCTTATTATTGAATTCACTAGGTTTATCACCTGTCTACTTACTTTACGTTAACACCGCTCTTGACAACTCTAACTCACTTGAATAATATTCAACATGAACAGTATAGCACTGAGTTATATAACACATGTATTATGGTTGGTTCAGTTGACAAATTTCAGTAATTATTCCTTTGTTGTTCCATGCTTGCTGTTTTCATTTTAATTTCTCTAGTTGTAGATGATTATAAATAATTGGTTATGGCACAAGAACTTACTTTAAATACACCGTTTATCAATCAATAGTCTATCCACTTAAGAGAAATTAGAAGTTCACGGCTGATGCATTGGATTGTTGTAATACATGTCATAAATGTACTACCTAAACAATTACTGAACTAGTAAACTTAAAACAATCTTCTATCACATGTTTGTTCTCTACATTTAATGTTACTATTTTATCATAATAAACGATATGGTATTGTTTACACTTAGTATGGTGGTATATTTATGACTCATGAATTTCCATAGTCTGTCCTTTCCGAAACAAATCTCAACGTCTTATAAGTTATTTATCACATGGATATACAACAATAACTCATGTTATTGAATTAATATATTTTCTACTTAGAATTGGTTTTAACAATGAAGGCAGTTCCAAATGAGCTCTTCAAATGATGTTGACAGTCGGCGAACTGCTTTCATTGAAAAACAAAACATTATTACATGATATTTAGGATGTATTTATCAATGAGATCTTTATATATTTAATTTTCATTCAGGAATTAAAGCTCAACATAAATTACGATCATAAATTTATCAATGCTAAAAATGAGTATTAAATATAAGAATCATTAACGTTGGAGGTTTATACAAAGTTTCCTTTCCACAGGATAGGATCGCTAACCTCACAAACAACCCCTCTTCTTCCTTATCCGGGCTCGGCATGAACAGTAAGCATAGAAGGGCTTCAGATGAACAGAATCATGACGTTCTAAAATCGACTAGTTATACAGTGGTTTCATTCACAGTAGTAAAAATTTGGCTTGCTAGATAGCGACTTGAATATATTTGACCCATAGAAACCATAAACAATGAATATTTGTTGACAATTATGATTTGCAATAATATGAAAAAAAAAACTATTTTTTCTAGAGTAAATATGTTTATTATCTCCATGACAACAATATAATTTTCAGTGTAATATACGTTGAAGTATTTCATGAATTGGTAAATGTTTTATCTCTTCTAATTGTCTTGCATACAATTCATCCTCTTCACTGTTTGTTTTATTATGAATATTATTATCGACATTTTCATGGGACAATTTTCTTGTTCCGTTTTTATTACTAGAAAATGGTTTCGTTTGTGATTGTTTTCTTCGAATCACTGAACTCATTTCTTCTGAAATGTACAAATAAAAAGCGTTGAGTGTTTGTGAAAATATTCAACGATCATCAAAGCATATGATTGATATTATATTATTATGCAATGTCATTGTTATTATTGTCTCTCATTTATTAATTTTACTATGATAGATGTTGTGTTGCACAAGATATAATATAGGATGTTTTTTAATCCCACGGGATACGTCATTACTTCGGAAAGGATTACCCGATATTCATTGATTCACATTTCCAACTTTGATCAATTAGCAATACAATGCTATATTTTCATGACGTTCCATCATGGAGTCAATATGTCTAGTTATCATTACTTTAGCAAAAAGTGACCGCTCAGTTTTACTTTCAAACATGGACGATTAAGCATGTCTTTATTACAGAAAACCAAACGGAAACGTAGCAAATAAGTGAATCATGATTACACACAATTTATTAATTAATTGTAATATATATCAATATTCGCATATTTTTATTATTTACATCTGTCCTTGCTACCAGAATAAATCACTCAAAAACGACCTATTGATTATTCTCGATTCCCTCACTTTGATGATTCACTCAGCCTTCAGATGTTTGCTTAATCGAGTCTAAGAAGCAATAGCTTCGAAACACCTGTTTTCTCTTAATTTGTTACATTGCTTTGGTGTACATTCACAACCCTAAAATGAAGTCAAACCTATCACCCTTATGTTCCACAGCAAACACGTTAATTTCAATCAAGCCGTACCATAGCATAACTATCATACAATCCAGTTGATAAATAAGTTTTCAACTCCCAAATTGGTTTACCCTGATGAAGCATGCTGTCTTGTCATAAAGTTAACGAACTCATTTCTAAGTTAATCATTTGAAAGAGCATTAATATTATTGCCCCAACTGGTTCCGTGTAGATGATTACATACAACAAATTTCATCATAAATTTATGTCACGTTATAGAACAACAGCAAACTGGAAAAATTGAACTGATCTAATTGCATCATTCTGGTAGAATTATATATAATATACCCTTGTGGGCCAGGGTAATTTTACATCGGTTTTCAGGAGAACCAGACACCGTCCAGACTTTCACGCGACAACCCAAACAGCACAGCCCAAGCCCATTTAACAGGGGAGCCGGACACCGTATAGGCTATAACGCTACAATCTGAATAGTACAGCTCAATCCTGTGGCGCAACCACACAGGTACCAAGCACCCTGGTGGACCACTGGTAGAATTACCCAGACTATTTAACCGACCATAACTTTCAATGATTTTCTTGATATATTTTTATGCACGCATCTTGAATAGAAGCTCATAAATTTACATCGACGGGAAGTAATCGTTCTTCACCATTCAAACATTATTATTAGCCTGTTTTTCATTATTTATCTGTTTCTAATTATCAGTGACAATGATCATCTATTCATCTCTTGATAATACTGATAACAATTATGGTAATAATGTTGGAAAATCAATCTATTGGTAACATTCGTTTATCTGTCTAGTCACATTATTATTACTAGTATAATTACTTACGTCTGTTACTCCCAATGGAGCATAGGCCGCCGACCAGTATTCTATAACCCACTCTGTTCTGGGCCTACATCTCCACTTCTATCCAATTTTTGTCCATTTTTCTCATGTCTGTCTCAATTTATCGTGTAATGTGTTCTTCGGTCTTCCTCTTCTCATATGGCCTTGAGGATTTCATGTGAGGGCATTCCTTGTGATGCATTTAGATACTTTCCTCAATGTGTGTCCTATCCACTTCCAGCACTTCTTCCTGTCTTCTACCTCTACTGGAATTTGGTTTGTTCTCTCTCACAGTAGGTTGTTGCTGATAGTGTCTGACCAATGGATCATAGGTATTTTGCGTAGGCAACTGTTAATAAACATTTGTATCTCCTGGATGATGGCTCTCGCAATTCCCCAAGTTTCCGCCTAAGACAGTAAAACTGTCTAGACATTTGTACTGAAAATTCTGACTTCGGTGTTGGTTGGCAATTGTTTTGAGTTCCAGATGTTCTTCAGTTGTAGATATGCTGCTCTTGCTTTACAGATCCACACCTTGACATTTGCATCAGAGCAATGATGGTGCTCAGATATGTAAAGGTTTTAACATCTTTCAAAGCTTCTCCGGCAAGTGTGATTCGATTGATGCATTCTGTGTTGTATCGGTGAGTCATGATTTTCCCTTTGTGTATGTTGAGACTTATTGCTGCTGAGGCTTCTGCTGCACTGGTTGTCTTCTCTTGCATTTGTTATTGAATGTGCGATAGAAGAGCCAGATCATCTACGAAGTCTAGATCGTCCAGCTACATTATTAGTAGTACGTTTTAGTAAAATATCTCTTATGTTATTGTGACCATAATTCATTTATTTTAAAAATTAATCACTAATTATCTGCTGACATTCATTTTCACTACTTCCAAACTTTTTTTCATTAGATTATTCTAAGTATTTATGACATAACTGACCCTTATCAATCTTGCCAAAAATTTGTGTTATCACTGATAACAGAGATCATATTACTTTTTTTCTCATTGAAATATTATTGAATTTCTGTGTGTTCATTAAATAATAAACTTTTCTTCTGGATTTTAAAAATTCTTTGATAATTAATATTTGGAAGTAGAACAAAATCATAATCTCGTTTGTCTTTAGATTATACTAAACTGACCGAAATCAACATCTAAATAGATTATTTGATGGTGGTTGAGGGTAGTAGACAGAAAACCTTAGACGCGGGTTTCGTGCGACTTGGCACTCGTCAGTAAGGTGACGATTCGACCCCGTGTCACCCAGATTTACAGTCAGAGACGCTATCACTGAGCTATCCAGACCGCGACCGACTTCCTGTTGGACTGAGATGCAATCACATTTGACTGATCACTGGGTGGTGATCAGTGTCATGTATGTCAAGTCCTTATTAGTGCAGATCGAATGTTATCAACCAAGTTGCGATTTGGCCACCAGCCTAGGTGACTCGAATCCGTCAGGGAGCACCAGTTTCCTCAAGATTACAGGTGCACCTTGCTTATGAGTGCCAAGTAGCAAGAAACCCGGATCCAGGGTTTCCTGACGACTATCTCCAAACACCATCTAATCTCAACATAGTGCACGCAGTGTCCAGTCACCTAGACTGGTTGATAGCATTCGATCTGCACTATGAAAGACTTGACACGCATGACATTGATCACCACCCAGCGATCAATCAATTGTAAAATGGGTTATTTAAATTATGGTTTTGAAAGTAATCAGAAATCCGATTCATATATATGCTAGTATACATACTCTTACAAAGTGGTATTTTGAAATAAAGAGAATTCAATAAGTAATAGGAGTAGTACATAGTCCAATCTTTAATATGTACGCAAAAAATAAACAAAAGTAAATAAATGTAGTTACATATTTGTAAACATTTTGCTGTTGAATGTAATGATTTTCGCAACATAGTAATGACAACTAGCTAATCAATAAAAGTGAAGGGTTTCGGTTAAATTTTAGTTTACCTAATCAAGTAAATAAGTATAGCAACCACACTTCCCAGTCTCATAAGAAATAAGATGCCAATAAACTAGTTAACTGTAAACCGAAGTTCTATAATATTAACTTGAGTTAACCTGTGGTGCATCATTCGATAATGGTTAGCAGGCTACGTAAACAATCTCTAAACTAAACAAATTTACCCATCTGATATCTTGGTAACTAATCAATTTATAACTAAAAATATCGTTAGTGTTTTCTAAAACAAAAGAAAAACATTTCACATCTAAAATACACAAAAATAAGCAACAATTGATTGATAACAAGTAAAATTTACCAGTTTTTACTAAATCATCCATTGATGTTCCAACAGAATTCTTTTCAATGAGATCTCTTTCAATTTTCTGTATTGTATCTTGGTAAACGAAACTTGAACGATTTTGTTTTAATGTAGATTTTGAAATCTTTTCAAATTCATTCAGTTTTAATTTTAACATTGATAATTTCTCCTCATAATCAGTTTGTTGTGTCAAATGAAGTTTTAAATGATTATCTAATTTTTCAACATTATAACGAATTGATTGAATTTCCTTTCTCAACAAATCCATATCATTTTCTTCAATAGATCGATTCAATTTACTCGAAGTGCTTATTATACTATTTCGTTTGGAATTGATCTCTATGAATTTATCAAGTGTGTTGTTAATGAAAGTACGTACAATTTCTTCAATATCATTTTTAGGATTATCTGTAAATTCGTTTGTATTATCGTTGTTATTCATATTGTCATTTCCGATTGTTTCATTTTGTAAAACGTCTTCTTTATCCGTCTCTTCTGACATGTTTTCTTTAAACTGTATCGTTTATTCTTTGAAAAAAATATTTAACCTGATGATATGTGACAATTGTAGTTTTTCATTTAAAAAACATTTATACATAAATACGTAAAAGTATTTAAACGATGGTTTTTATATATAGAGTCTATCATTGTACTGAAGATTTCTTTAAGTAGCATTGTTTCATTGATTTGAACGAATAAAACTTACGTTCTTCATCATATCTAAAATGAAATACAAATCTGATATCACAGAACAATAAGACTCAATCTTACATATAACATGCAATAAGAAAAACAATAGGCATTCATTATGAAAACATTCTATCATGTGATCATAGAAATAATAATCAGAAATGTTTCATTACTAAGTGAAATTCTGTTGAATTCTGTTGTCTATTTACGTTTAATATTGAATAAAATATTTTAAAAAAATAGGATGAAACGGCCGTCCAGTGCTTTCAGGTTTTCCATGATGGTCTAGCTTCAATTCACTTATGATCTCAACTATAATATCCACAAAAACCCTTCTGAAAACATAAAAACTTTGTGTTTTAAAAATGATTTATAGTGACATATTCCAAAAGAAATCTATTTCTTCTGTTAGACAAAAAAAACACATACTTAATATGAGTGTTATGAAGCTGTTTGTAAACGTGTAACCTCTCACAGACATTATTAATGATGATGAGCTTAAAGTTAGATATTATAGGTGAATTACATATGTTTAAATCCCTTATTAAATATATTATTGCAGCAGTTGGCCGCAACATATACAAATGAAAAGGTAAGGTTCTCAAATACATTACGGAGAACAACAAACAATCACACTTCGACATAAATCACTGAATTAATCTTATTCTATAATTCGAGTGTCCTGAAAATAATTTTCTTTCATCAATCTACAAAGAATGACCTCCAATTGAAAAGCTTTCATCAACCTCCAGCACTCAGATAATATTGTCTAGTTTAGTGAAAATTTAGGTGAAATTCATGTTCTATTAAATAAATTGTGACAGTTGAAGACTAATTTTTCAAACTCAGAAATTTTGTTTGAGAAGCATCTACATGAACATCTAATTTGATCATATAAAGTTAAGTTTTTGAGTGTAGTATCTACTTCAGTCACCTCGAAAGTCTTATCTAATAAAGTGGGTTAGTGGATGATAAAATCTTGGCATAGATTAAAATAATCCTTGTTTCTGTAAATGATATCACCTGCAATTAGGAGAATGATTCTCTGAAAGATAAAGAATGAGTAAACCAAAAAATCACTCTCTCTGTATTATTTTAAATCGCTATAATATTCTTTTTACATGTTGATGTGTTCGCGGCCAACATTTTGTTATAAACGTTGGCAAATACTGAAAGTCGGGTAATGAGATGCTGGTGCAGTGAAACACGTGGATCATCGGCAATTCTGTGAAGGAGATTTAAACCTCTGTTGTCTTTGAACTTGTCACTGGTTTAACATACACTTCTCTTTAGGGCTTTGTTTTCAATTATAGCTAATTATTTTTCAAATCTTCATGTTCATCCTCTACTAGTTCATGTAATTCATGCCTATTTCACAACCTTTTATACGATTTCTGATGCTGGTGAAGGTATAATTAAGTGTAAGATATTTCAGAGCTCAGTTACTCAAATGAATATTATTTCAATGAATTGTCTAGTAGGATGACACTGGGTATACATGTTTTTATTTGCTACTCTTCATATGTGATTCAAGAAATCACCATATCAGCACTAATGGATAAACAGAAATTCATAAAACACTTTCGATGTTAAGAAGTCTTTCTTAATCTATAAACAATGAAAGGCACCCATCGCATCATCAATAAAAATAATTCAAAATTCAGAAAGCAGAACAGGAAAAGTCAGGACTTAGTTTTCACATTTGGGTTTCATTGAATGAGATCAGAAAATTAATTCTTTCTCTATTTACTAGCTACAGGTAAATTCATGTTCACGACACAATTGACAAAGAACTAGGAAAATATCTGTCAATTCACATCAAAAATGCTTCTTTCCCAAGTTTACTGACATAAACTTGCAGTTTAAACAAACACTTGAAACACCTGCTACAGCCAGAACGAAGAGGTATTCATGTGCGCGGAATTCAGAAGAGATACGACTACAGATATACTGAAGAACAGATCTTCGAAGTCTTTTAGAAAACCATTTTATTCTGCTAAGCTCCTCACTTTAGCACATATTTTAGGAATAAACTGCCACTTTTCAAACGACCATTGTGCAAACACATGTATACTTCCGAATTTGGAACAATTCACATCGAGACAAACAGTTTCTAAAAGTATTTATCAACATCACGCTGTTCTGCTATCAATCATACCTTCAGTTTAGAATAATTCAACAACATTTACTACTTTACTCCACAATAATTATCCTACGAAATCATTCAGTCAGCCACAATAATGCGCTGAGAGGCAGAACCGAAAGATTACGCATTGAACAAGCTCCAGTAATTCAACGATTAAAAATTAAACTATTTTGTATGTTTTATTCTACTGGAATCTTAAACCGTTACTTTAATTTATTATTCCCCATAATTTATTAATTTTACATAGTCTTCTTCATCGTTTGATGGTCGTTTAACTGGTAACTATATATCATACTTCATATCGATAACCCTCACTGATTTTACCAATCATAACACAACTGTTCTTCACACCTGAAATTTCGGAACACTTTTGTTGTGAAAGGCGGATTATTATTCCTGATACTGATATACACGATTCCTATAAGTCACCAAAACCTGTTAGTTGAATGGAAAGCTCAACAGTGAGTAAAAAACTGTACTACCTAAACTCAATCAAAATATGTCCACAAACCCGATTACAAATATGGATATACGTTCTCCGGATAATTAAGCCAAATCCTGATCAATATCATGCTATCGTAATTACTGATATATCATTTAGCCTTGAACTTCAGAACAATGTTCTAACTCTATGTTGTTATTTGATTCTTCGCAAATATATTGTAACATGATTGCAAAGTAAAGATACACTGCCAACCAACGGTATTTATTTCGATATTTCATGCACAGAGAACTGTAAGAACAGTTATTACATTTGTGTGTTATTTTTATTTATTTTCTGGTGACGCAAATAGCCAAATAGCTCTTCTAAATAGATTTAGATCAGAAAGAAGTCCAACACTCAAACAATATAGAGATTTGAAGTTCATATTACCAATTTGAATTTACCGGGTTTCGTAGATAAAACGTTACTATTAAGTAAACAGTTTAAGTATGCTAGATTCGTATACTCATCTATTATGTAAGGGGAATGTGATCATGAATTTGGAAAAGGCTCTCAATGGTATTTTGAATGATAATAAACCAATCATTTATATATCGGAGACTAGTTCATAGTCGGATGATACTGGGATGTACCATTATCAATATCAAATTTAATTGGGCCTATAACCTGTCATGTATTTGGAACAGTTCATTTGTTATAAATCACCTTCATTGACAATAAGACAGTGATCTCACACATGGTGATCATTTAATATTTCCAACATAATTTATTATTTAACTTATTGAGTTTCTGTCACTTAATCAGTTTTTGATAGGCTGTGGGTATCCAGAAATCCTTCACCTGTGCGCTTATGTCAATGCGAAAGCAAGTGGTGGGTTCGACATGTCAAACAAGACATCCTACTGGTTAAATCAATTTTTGCACTGTATCAAGTTGTGTACACACATAATTGAGTTGTATACTTATTTACTCAGCTCGGTAATCACAGCTTCCTAGTATCTTTTAGTCATTTTACTCACATATGAGGTTGGAATTGGTGTATAAGAAGAATGATTTCCAAAAGCAAATTGGGCAATCCAATAGTATAACACATTCTTAAAACATAAATAAATCCTCAGAATTCAAGAACATTCATACATTTACAATTCTTAGTTTAACAATAAAAAGACAATCTGAAGCAGTTTTAACAAATAAACAAAATCAAGTACCTAAAATTACGTGGAATATTTCAAAATGCTAAAAATAACCATAACAGCAATTAAGAAGCCAATTACAATGTAGAAGGTTAATCAAATAATAAAGTTTACATAAAATCCTTAATTAAAAGTTATTTCATTATTTCACCATTGTCACAATTGATCACAATAGTTAACAATCATGCTTCATATATATTAACGAACAATTATTCCATTATTTCTTTTTAGATATTCACCAACTAATTTACCAGGTAACTGTTCAAATAATTTAAATTCATCCGCAGATATAGTAACTTGATCATTTTCAAGACGATTTACAACTGCTACACAAACTAGGATAGCTAAAATAAAATATGAACCATCGCATAAAGATGATTAGTAATATAAAGACAATGAGATGTAAATCAAAAGTCATACACTGATAAATAGATTTATAATTTTTGTCTGTATGAAGTTAACTCGACATAATGGTTTGCATTATCAACATTAATTAAGTAAATCAGTACTAAAAGTCGATTTTCCTTTTATTATAGATTGATATCAGTTAGACATTCATTTAAATTGTAAATTTAGTAGTTTTATTCATGAGTCCATTGAGGATAGACCACCATAGAAAACCTGGAAGCACTGGACGAACAACTCGTCCTAGTATGGGACTCCTCCGCAATGAGCATCCACTATCCCTCCTCGCGAGATTTGAGGTCGAACCCAGGATCTGTCAGTCTCGCGTGAGAGCGCTTAAACCCTAGACTACTGAGCTGGCCGTCATCCATCAGTGTTAATGTATAACTTCAACCAATCTGCGAAGTTGCACCATCGTCTACTATTGTCATCAGTGAGTTACTAACTCATAACAGAACAGGTGGATCTCCACTGGTCACGGTTTCTCACTAGAACTCCAATAAAATACCTTCTGGAGACCGTCACTAGTGAGCATATGGTGATTATAATCAGATGCCGGGTCAATGGTCTAAAGGTTAAGTGTTCGCGCGCGAGAGTGATAGGTCTTGTGTTCGAATCTCACGGGGCGCGATCATGGATGAGCACTTCTAAGGAGTCTCATACTAGGACGAGCTGGTCGTCCAGTGCTTCCAGGTTTTCCATGGTGGTCTAGCTTCAATTGACTTATGAATTCAACTACTAAATTACTATAATATCCACAAAACCCCTCTCTGATGATAAATTGTAAATAGTTAAAAAGATTCTTTAAGTTCTTTAGAGACTCACAATAAAACGTAGAATATATAGTTCTTGCCGAGAGCAAGATAGGTTTAAGAAATCGAGTGGTTTTACAATGGCATCCATTTCCAAGTTCATTCATTTGTGATGTTGTATGGGAATTACTCTACCCTATCGGTGATAATTAACTCTTTTTTTTCTTGACAAGATTCGATTCTACTAATCACGGTTTTTCACTATAGCTGGAATTGATTCAGTTGACAATATAACTTTGCAAGGACAAAATTGTAAATTTCGTTTCATCATATATGAAACAACAGCTTGGCGGCTTACGTGAACATCTGGGCTACCTGTTCCTACCATCTAGATATTTCAACATTATTTGTATGATTATTATGTAGTAAACCTGTAGTTGTAGACAATATCAAAGCATCCTTTAAAATCTTAGTGGTTAGAACATTGTACAAACCAAACTTCTTCTACCACTCAAAAGACTACCAAATTGTGTTACAAACTCATAAATCAATTAGATATAATGCTAGGAACTATAGGACGTCCTCTATCATTCTGTGCACTGTCACAGATGATTCTCTGCATAATTTAAAATTCCCTATGCCAAACAATTATCAAAATTTATCAACCTAAGTCAGCTAGCTCCCAACCTTTCCCTCTTTTAGTATTTGTAATAAAAAAACTCTTCGGAATACCACAATATCAGGAGAAAATAAGATGAATTATTCAGGCATATGAATGTATCACCTCGATGACCAGTTAAATTGCAATGAGATGTAATTGCAATACCCTCCATTTCCAAATTTCTTATGCCATGATCATAAGCCGACTTAAGATAAGCTGACTTTTCTTCTTTGCTAAAAGAACAAACCGATCCGTCCAATCTTCCTTGCTCTATAAAGTTAAACAAACATATAACTATTTCTAAACTCAAATCGAAAAGTTCGATAAAATATAAAGAAAACTGAAGTTACGCATTAATGTAGTGTACCTTTATCAAACAAACAATTGGCTATGATAATTTTTTGAACTTATTAACACATTTCTCATATCAACATAGAATTTATTATGTGTGGATCGTGTCGATTACTAAGTGAATAATTGCTCAAAGATCTACATTCAGATTTTATCATTAGACCATAAGGAAATAACATAAGTTCTATGTATAACTATCAAATGATTATCTAAAAACTGGTTATACTTAAATACGTGTTCTGAAAATGCTTTACATACTCAAAACAATCTCATATATTATTAATGACATGATTTGTTTAAATCTGTGCATCTAGCTAACACAAAAGATTGATCCGTTTTAATTCAATGCACAGAGGAGATAAAGTTGTTATCAGTTTACAGTGAACTGAAGCACAATCACTCTATAGGATAGCACACAACCTACATAACTGGAAGTATACTAATTTATTTACAAAATACAATGCAAAACGTCATTCATCAATGTTTGCCACTGAGACTTCAGGAAAACAATCTTGAACGTCATAACCAGTGATTTTAAGTTATGTTCAAACCAAGCGGGTTTGTGGAAGTCTCTAGGTACTAAAGTATTAATACTGTAAAGAATATTTCCAGTAGTATCACAGTCAGTCACAGCTTTTAGGTTCTAGCATAAGTTATTTATGAATGCTTCATTATCCATAGTAGCGTTTCAGATCACTAGCTACATGCAACGATTTTTTCAAAATCCATTCATCAGTTGTATAGCAAATCTATATGAAAAAATATGACAATGTTCAATACAATTGTTCTTACAATAGAGTTTGTGTAGATTTCAGTAGCTAACACATTAGTAGTAGTACTCATACCATTGTTTTAAATACTTCAACATTCAAAAAATAATTACATGCTGTACATCATTAATCTTACCTTCATAAAAGTCATTTGCAGTGATTGTACCCCCAACAACAACTGAACATTGTAATGAAAGATTCTCAGAAAGCTTTTTTAATTCATTTACAGCGTTTAAGTCCACCTTAGTTTGTCGACGGACAGGTTTACCAAGAATACACTGAAATTCAATTTAGTCATTCAAATAATGCTACTAGACAAAAGAACTGTTAGAATACTAAGCATTTAAGATTATATCACTTCAGAAATAACATCACTGTCAAGATGTGACACATGGCAATATCTTTCTGAATGAGGCGATGAAGATAAAGGTTAGCAACACATTACTCTGCATACACAACATTCAATAATAGGAACATTTCTGGACATTCGATAAAATCCCAAAATATTACGGTGTGTAAGACTGAATCATTTTAACCGAACAAAGTGAGAACACTTAAGAAAAGTAGAATAATATTAAGCCCATACCTCTTGAGCTGTGTTAATTTTCAACTCCATAGACTTTTTAAAACTTCCTAGAACTTTAAAAGCTTATATTTCTCTTCCGCAGTAAACAAAGTTCCTACAGAATCAATACATATTTTGGATAATCAACAGATAGATAGATATACCGAACTAGTCTATTAATTACATTTTCGAGTGACTAAGCAGACTCTTAAACACCATTCAGTCATTCACTGATTGTACATATACAGAAGATTCAAGTAGTCTGTCAAAGATCAACTCCACACTTTTTAATCAGTTTATCGAAATGAGAGACTTCAGTTTCAAATACTTCCAAGGTTAAAATGAAGCTCATTTTTCCTCCATCTTCAATGAACAATTCATGATTCATTATACTAAGTTTCATTAATGTTTATCTATCTAAGCTATATACTTGTACTTAAAGTAACTTTTAAATTTATAAAAAACGAATAATTAGTAGATAAAATGTTAATTAACTGAGGTATTGTCGTTGACTGACAGTCAATCGATAAACTATGTCTTGTGGTGCACTATTGTTTGCCATATCTAAGCCACCAATGCTTACTTAGTGATTTTTTTCAGTGAAACCAATAACACAAATTACGTTAACAATCCAGAATAATTCAAAGATTTTACAATTCATGATATTCAAATTATTCCATACCAATTCGTTATATGGCTCTAATTTGGTATTTACGCAACGATCGGACACCACAAGTGTACCAGGCTTCACTCCTAATTTGAATGAAATAATAAAACAGACCATTATGATAATATTTTCACACAACAAATAAGTTATTTCGCCAATGAATAAAATAACCTGTAAGTATCAGCATGAGGTTTTGAAGATGTTGAGTTTTAGTTGAATCACGAACCTATCAAAGTTGGATAGTACTCTTGAGTGCTGTTAGAGATGTGAGAGCGATTATCACTTCCTGGTTGCCCACACCGTGGAAGGGTCCTTCTGGAGGTACCTAAAAATGAAATTAGATTATAGGTGGTCTTAATGACCTGAGAGCGTGACCACAATGCCCAAGGGACAGCTGCTTGAGGTTGGTCATACACGACCTTTTTGTGAGTAATTTTTGTGTTAGCTCCGTACTTGTTGAGACCTTACCGCCGGAGACGGATATCTATGGGATAAGGCGAGGTGTGCATTTTTAGGGTCGACCTTTTCCAACCCCACCCCTCCTTGTGGGAAAGCAGAATCGCTGTTAGGCTGTTTGTCTGAAGGAAACACCTTACTGCCGTCACACCTCTGTACAGTCGGCTGTACGACTTGGCCTTCGGACATTGGGTTTGAAGCTTTTAGTCTTACCGTTCTTCAACCGACTGACTGGCATGGTAGGACCTTGAGGAACGATTGTTCAAGCCAGTATAGCTCGATTGTTTCATCACGATAAGCAAGCCCGACCACCACGTCAAGGTAGCAACGACGGTTGTGCCTGGTCCTACGTTGTAACTGACTGACTGACAAAGTTGGACAACCATCAAGATGGAAACATTGAACGGACGGGACATTGTCGTCCGATATCGTGAATCGAATGAAGTTTGACTTGTAAATCATCAAGTCATGCATCAGTGGTCTAGATTTTAAGCATTTGCACGTGAGGCCGATGATCCTGTATCCAATTTTCGATTGTGAGGTCGGGGATGTGCACTGTCGAGAAGTCTTATACTACGACAAAAAGGACATTTAAAGCTTTTTGGCATTCAGTAGTTGTTTAACTGAGATTGGTTAGTGATTTGAATGCAATCAGTAAAAAATTATTTAATTTATCAAATTTGTTTCCAATTTTTCAATGATTTATCGATAGATTTTAATCGGTTATGAAATCCTACGTATAAATTTTGATGAAGTAAAATTTGATTGTTTCCTCACGTAGACACTGAAAACGCTATACAACATATATCAAATCCAAACAAGAATCATCTTAAGACTTCTATCACTTGGTGTTATTGACTTCTTTCAAACTATAGTTCTTGTCTTACAGTTTTGTATAAGAATTGATATTTTCAAATATTTTAATCTTATTCGCTATTGTAAATAACTCCGCCTGGAGCCCCTCTGGGAGCTACTGCCTGTCCCAAGCCCGGATAAAGGAAAAGGGTTGAGCATGGGGTTAGCGACCCCATCCCGTAGAAAACTAAATCGTTAAAAAAACGCTAACGAGAAAAAAATTATTTAAGTAAACTATTTTAAACCATTTACATTAGGTGGTCATTGAGTGAATATTCCTCAAATAATTAAGGGATATTAGTCATTCAATTCAGCACTTAGTAAAATATGATACAGATTAACATACATTACAAATCCAATACAACTGGAATTGAAAAAGGGACAGAACATTGTCCCTATATATCATTACTTCTATAGAAATTATAAATTTTATAGAATTAAATGAAATCACTTTTTTTTCTAAAAAGAATTGTTTTACCTAAACCACCACATGTTCCTAAACGTATAAATAATACATTTTTACAACCAGCGTATTGTAATAATTTTGTCATTTCATGCATTAGAATTAATGTTGATGGTATACCAATTCCATGCTATATGAAAGTAAGAAAATAATGAAGACAACCTTAAAGTCATTAAAATATATTGTTGTTGATGTTGTTGTTTTGTTACTAACAACAACAACAGGAACAACAACAAAAAACACACTGAGAGTATTTTTAGTAAACAATCTATTTCTAAGTAACAAATTAGTTAAAGAAATTGAATTGAACTAATCAATGAACTTTAAATGAAAGTGTATCCAAAAAAAAAAAAAAATTTGAAATGTATCATTAGATTAACAATCCTAAATTCACATGTTTTAAATGATATACTTTATCCTTAACTTGGCTATATTTTCGGATTGCTAATTTGGATATAATAATTGTAGAATCTAAAGAGAATTTATCGAAAAGAATATTCTTTGTTCAAAGATTAAAATTTGTTGTTGTTTAAAGTAATATTCATCATGAAAAATAAAACATCTTAATATAGGACATAAAGTCGATATATTGAAGTCTTTCAAAGTGTTTAATAAATAATTAAACACTAATCTTTTGAAATTTGTTTAAATTATCGTAATCAAATGTCTAAAATTAGATCTATGTAACTAAAAACAGGTAATAATAAATCTGTCTTTACGCTGGTAACATTACCCCCCCCTCCGCTTTTTTATTTATTACGTCATTCATTATTTCAACACTTTCTGAAGTTTCTTCAATTCATAAATGACTATTTATTTATATTATTTATTATTATTTAATTGAACATATAAATATTGGTACAAGGGGGCACCATATATATATATATATATATATATATATATATATATATATATATATATATATATATATATATATATATATATACTCTCGCATGGCCACGCGTATACAATGTCTGTCAGGGAAGTCCTACTCACTGCCTTCTAGTGTCCGGGGTGTTGTTTACGAAATTGAAAAAGCGACTGTCCGGCGATTTAACTGGGTTGGTGGATATAGAGGATCCACCTAGGGCATTTGGAAACCGTGACTCTAAACCAATGGTTCACATAGCCTCCAGGATTCTGAAGGAACAAATGGCGAATGGACCAATCGTTGTCCATAGGTTTCCATGGGACTGCATCTGGTGACGTTGCTCCACTGCCTTGTGGGTTAGACCTTTAGGTCAAAGGCTCGGAGTGTAACCCCCTAAGACAATCACCTGCCTCAGTCTGGGCACCCGGGCAGTATCACAGTCCACATACAAATAAAATGAGATGGAGATAATTACTCATAATTGACTGATTTCAATTTCTATCTTTCTTTATTACCATCTATTCTCATTTGCTTAATTACACAATCATCTAATGTTTGTTAACTTCATGAGTTCTAATCACTATTTCAATGTTCTGGAAGTTTCCTTCACAAACTTTATTTATCCGAAACAGTTTTTATGACCTTATTAACTCTATTGAAATCTTCGCTACACCATAATACATATATTTATCTTTAATCACCCTCTTATGTATAAGTATGTCAATATCTGTAATACCACTGATTTTCAAATATTTTAGTTTGTAAGCAGCTGATGAGAACCTAATGAAATAAAATGAATTTATATTATTCTGCACTAATCTTTGCTCTTGCTCTCTTTAAGATAATAAAGGGAACTATGTATATGAGATTTTAGGACTATTGAAAATTAGAAAGAATTGAATAGAATAGATTGAATCAAATTAAAGATTATGCAGTATACAATAAAACAAAAGTACTATTCAATGTTTTCTGATAATTCTAATTAGTTCTTCAATTAACATTAGGGTATGATAAGATATTCTTTTGAAAATATATAAAAATTGTTTAAAACTTCTCGTAGTTTGACCAAATTATTCAAATGATCAAACATTTAGTCACAAACAACTAACTTGATTATAAACGTGTCAGAATATGAAAGTTATTCACGAAGAATTGTGCACCTAGTAAAGTAATATAATTTAGACGAACTAACTATATCATTCTTCTAGATAATACATTTCATGAAAATTTACAGTTATATTCCGTTGAAGTTAACGGGTATTGGTTATTTTGCAATATCAGTAACAAAGAATATTTAAGCAAACGTTTGTTTTCAATAACTTCATCATAAGGATCTACAATTTTATGTCCATAATAAATTATGACCATTTAAGAAGGTTAAAATTAACCATACGTTATTCAATTCGACAATGTTACGTGTTAAAAATAGTGATCGTTTACAAAATATCACAATAATTATAGACTGATAACTGTAGAGCTTGTTAATGAACATATTGAGAACAACTGTTTGCTCAAATATTCTTGATTCGGTAATATTTACTTTATATTCGTCTTCATTAACTCAACTATTAGATAAATAATGGTCACAATGATGTGGTCAACTTTAATTCGTCGAGTAATTATATTGACTCATTTGAAATATTTCGGCCATTTACATCAAATTTTCATCATCGTTTAGTATAAAGGGTTGTGAAGATTACCACATTCTACAATTTTACGTAACTAACTGATTTCAGTTAGACAACCGTTATAATCAGAGACCATTAGACAACTGCATCTCAACACTATACGACTTAGCGAAGTGGTCTAGAAATTAAGTATTCACTGAGAATTCTCCACGTCCTAGGTTAAACTTCTAAAAGCTTTGTGTACCTGTACTTATTATGAATCACATATTTCAGTGAAACGATCGTTCAGTTCATCATAGGTCTGGATGATTGTTTCACCAAAACATATTCATTCACCAAGTTTATTTGATTTGTAGTTTATATTCATTAAAAAGTACATAACAACGAATATCGATTATAAAAATTAACAAAAAAAATAAATAAAACAATGTTTTTAAGGACAATTTTTACAAATAAATTATCCTAATCCAAAATTTCATTTTTAACTTACATCTGCAAATAATATATGATCTACTTTGTAAAGTACAAATCTTGCATGAGAACCGGCAATATTTTCTACAGGTGACTGTAAACCAGCTAATTTAGCCATTGATATTGCAAAATTATGAATTCTACTACTGCTACCACATATACAAACGAACTATTTACAAAAATAAGACAAAAGATTATCTAAGGGAAATTGCAAATTATAATTTAATATAAAAAAGTATTTTTTCTTAAAAAAACATCCATTTGACTTCATGATGACAATATGCAAACAATGAAAATATTCCCATTGAATCAGTCAGTTTACTTTATTTCTAAACAGAAAATATTTTCAACACAAAATCATTTCCAATTAGTTGAGTTGAAATATGAAAAGTGAAACAATGTAGATAACAACGTGAAAGAAATCTGATGGCATTAAATTTTTTATTTTACACGTTTTTATTCAATCGACGGTAGTTTGGCAACATGAATACCAAACAGTGTACATATAAACAACTCGAGTTTAGTGAAGATCCCTAATGTTCCAAAAAGTAGTATATTCAAAATTCTTTTCCATTCTATAGTATACGCTTTTTGTAGACTATGAAAGAGATATGTGTAAAACTGGAACAATAAGTCACTTACAAAAAATTTATTATTTAAAAATTTACATACGTCATATTCATTCAATGAATGAATATATCAACAGATATGTTTATGGAAAATTTACTACAATTGTAAAAATAATACTTTCACAAATACTATCAAAATGAACAGAGGAAACTATTGATCTCTGTATGGGTATTAATCTTTGAAAAGACTTACAATCATTTGTTTGCATGTGAACAATTAAAATGTTTAACATATTTCATTCAAATCAGGAAATGAATTTGTTTTTCTATAAAAACTATAATCATCCTAATTTTACTTAGCAATTAATTTCCAAATTCCTCAACAGTTAGCTATATCAAAGTCAATGAATATTATCACGTATACAATACTGAAGATAAATTAATTCTTGTCAACTTCGTAATAAAATGAATTATTAACAATGAAAACTACCTTGACATCACCAAACTTTTGTTTGAAATCAAATGACTTTGTAGTGAATCCAAAATGATGGAATACATCTTCATTTAGTTCATTTAAATGACTATTCAGCATTAGCTGCACGGTGGACATTTTAATTGATAACTAATATATTCAAAATATTAGGAATATATATACTACCTCAAACGTGTTACTCTTTCATTTATTGAATACAATAATTATTTTATGTAGCACTAAAATATTTGATTGGATGATCAACTCAATCAGATTTTAGTTTGCATACTCCCATCCAATCAAGATATGTGTGTACTTATTGAATGAAACTTGTCTTCATAAATACATTTGATCAGTTTACTAACCATTCTCAATCACATTGCTTTAAAGCCAACATCAAGACAATATTACGAAACAGAATAACATTTCATCTAATCACTTTCATTTCCAAATATTAATTTATTTAGCATTCGAACTGATTATAATCATCAACTGTTTAGTTAGGTTACTTACCAAATATCTAAATATTAAAAATTAATAAACGTTATAACGTTAGTTATTTCAGATACATATTTGACATGTAAACCATTAAGGATTGTCATTACTCCGAAATATATTACTGTAATTATATAAGCTTCAAGAATAATAAACGGTGAAGAATATCTAAGGTACAGTCCCCCAATCGTTTTTAGTCAGTCAGTCAGTCAGTAACAACGTGGAACTTCGTACGTACGTACATCAGTTCGAGTTGCAACACCACATTAGCACAGAGATGCAGATGCCCATTCAAATCCCGTAGTGGTAGAGGTAGTAAGAGTACAAGCAGTAATCGGAAACAATAGAGTTTGAAGATGTTATTCAAGATGTATAATACAGTGAAATAAATTTGGAAAGAGGAAAAAAGGAACATGAAGAACTCAGAAGACTAGAATTTGGGAGAACACAAAGAGTGTATGCACCTGCTCACACCATTGCAAACTATTTTGAGCCATGTCATTCAGGGTCTCTAACCATCGGTTGCTATCATCTCGCGGTCCCCAACCAAGTCGTCTACACCTACCAACATGGCTCAGTCCACTTGCCATCCTTACCTAATACCCGTTTCCTAACAACTACATTACTTACTCGGTGGTCCCAGGATATACGAGCAATGTTTTGAAGACATCTATGATCAAATACTAGTAACCTACGAATATCCTCTACTCTTACCGGCCATGTTTCACTGCCATAAAATTGGACGGAACGAACTGCTGCACAGTAAACACGTCCTTTGGTTTTTAAAGGCTTCACTGTAATAATCCACTAAATTGAACAGGAATTAATAATATTACATCATCGGAAAGAATTCAGCGAAATCCCAATGTTCGTCTGAACTGATACAGGCATTCATAATTCACACTTTTAGAAACAACCAAAACAGCTAAACCGTATCAAGTGTGAGGAAGGTACCCTCCAAAAACAACGAAAGATGACCGCGGAAAAACCATGAGATGACTAGAACAAGACGTATACACTGTCAGATTCCGGTACAGTGTTCCAGAGGTTGACTGTTTGTGGGTGAGACCAAACGTCTGGAGTTCAATCCACGCTCTCAAGGTCGCGGATGTGCAGTGCCGAGTAGCCCCATACAAAAATGAAACGGCCATCCAGTCTCTCCAGATTTTCAATGCATGTCTAATTTAGACTGCTTCGTGATTTCAACGGAATATCAACAATCTACACAACTCCATATTGATAATCAAAATAGTATCGGTATTAAATAAATTACCTACCCTATAACTTGATCAAGATTATAATAAAAGTGACATGATTTCTGAAGATTTTGAACAGCTTATAACCAATCCTTATTCTCATCTACTTATTAACTCAACACAGTAAATTAGTTCAGTAAGTTAAATACTTAAATCACCTAATTACGAAATCGAGAAAGCTTACAGAAATCATTTAATTCACTACAATGTATAAAGTCCCTTACAGTTATTGTCAATCAGTTTACCAGTAATTTCTATAGTAAAATTAATTATTACATGTTTACTCACGTCCAACTACTCGGTTGTTATTTGTTTCATATTTTTAAAAATAATATCAACACTGATTGTGATCAGATAAATCAATCCACAGTAAGTGATCTTCTTCGTTTTAAATAGACACAAATAGAGTTACTGCAATGAGTCACATTATTTTACCCAAATACAAATTATTACTGACTAATAAGTTAAATACCAGTACCAAATACATATATTGCATAGTTCAACAGAGGCTTCAAACATGAGTGATCGAATTAACAATGTGTGCAACAGTTGTATGAACTAACTAGGTAATGATAACATTTTGCTTACCGATAATATGATTCGTTATACCAGTAAACTAAATCCTTAACGTAAATCGATTAACTTTTTTCACCACTACACAAATTCCACCATAAAACCTTCGACTATTGTAAGACTTTCGTATCATATAGATAACTAATAAACTACTTGAGTTCTATATAGGTTACTTAAATAAATAAAAAAGATTATACGGAATGTGTATTTTTTAAAACTTCAAACATCTATGTACAACAGATAACATCATTGGAAGTCAAATTAATGCAAGATCTGTCAATAATACATGAATCTCAATAAGAATGTTAGCATAATATAATTTAAAGATTTCTAGAATTCTATGAAGATTAAGTTTCATTCATTTATTTACTGGAACTATCAGCTAAACCAATTTGGGACCTTGATGAAGCTAATTCACTGCATCTCTGTAGAATCCAGTCAAGTGGAACTAACGGCCCACGAGAATCCTGAAATTAAAGAAAGGATAACCGAGAGAAAAGCCAAATGAATAATTTTATAGTCAAAAATACATATTATCTGTCCAGTGAAAACTATTTTTCACAAGAGTCTAGGAAATAATGGGTTCTGTGTTAATCAAACAACAGAATATCTATATTCACCACTCCTTCACGCTACGGACATGTCAAGTGTAGCGCGATCAGGCATGATGGAAGATAAATTGCAACACAGCAAAAGTCATAACTCCAAATAATTCTATAATAGAAGTTATTTCAAGATATCTGCAATTGAGTGACTAAATGGACGGAAACATAATTGTAATTACTGACTACGATACACTTGGATGACTTGAAAACGTGAAGTTTATCCCCAGCTGTAGTCAACGTTTCAAAAAGAACTATTTAAACAATCAAACTGACCAAGAGTCTGAGAACTATTTTTTGCCTGGAGATAAATGATTCGGTAAGATGAGATTGTAGAAAAAAAGCAAATATACATGGAACATTGAACCAAGTGGAAGAGTGTAGGTTTTTTAATTGTTTTAAAAGTCAGCCGTTTAAAATTCTATTTGATGGCATAGTTTAAAACCGATCACAATAAATATGTAATTCTGACCAGGAAAAACTTACAAAAGTATTATTCATAAACTGTTGGAAACACAATTTACAGGTAACATACCATACATATTGATGTAATATATTTCAATGGAAATTCTAAATAAATGTCAATGAATTTAAGTACTCACTTGTCCTTGCTAAGGTGATCATTAGATTATGCAAATTTCGACAACAATATTAAAATCTTACTAGAAACAATAACTCCAAGTGTATTAAAACCATAATATACCGACGATCTTAAGTGAAACAATTAAAAACAAGACAGCGCCTCAGATTTTTGCGCAAACTCAAAAATACAGTAAAAAACGGATTTCATGTTATTACAACCCAAACCAATGTTGACATTATTTGGTTTCTAAAATGCTTGATATTGATTTTTCAAAATACCTCATGTGCAACCAAATTGTAAATAGTGACATAGTTCTTAAACCAAATTATAAAGAATCCCTACACTTGATACACAGTTATTTGTTGTGGTTCAACCCGATATAATCAAAAATTGCGTAAACGACGACGAATAAACGAATCGTTGGTAAAATTCTGGAAACTTATAGGGATTAAATTAAAATAATTTCAGATGTTCGCCATGAATCGTTCAACTTCACGTTTTCTTCTTGTTGTTAGTGTACACGTACCTAAAGAAAATATGAGATGCGTGAGCAATTCTAAAGAAAATCACTGTAGCTTTAAATTGGTGAGATCATGAAGTTACTATTACAGTTCGTAGTAGTAATATTGCCCCCAAATGCCCTGGTACGGCCGAGAGTGGGGAGAGTCCGCTCTCCCTCTCGAAATGCTCTCACATGGCCATGCGTATATAGCCTCTGCCAGGGAAGTCCTACTCACTGCCTTCTCGTGGCGGGGGTGTTGTTTACAAAAATGAGAGGACGAAAAGCGAATGTCTGGCGCTTTAACCGGACCCCAAACCAATGGTGCACATGGGCTCCAGTATCCTGCGGGAACAAATGGCGTATGAACCAATCGTTGGTCACCGGCTACCATGGGACTGCATCTCCTTACGATGCTCCACTGCCTTGTGGATCAGACGTTCAGGTCAAAGGCTCGGGGTGTGGCCCCCTAAGACAACCACCTGCTTCGGTCTGGGCACCCGGGCAGTTTCACAGCCCTCACACAAATCAATTGAGATTTGTGTGGCGCATATGTATTTTGGTGCCTCCCTGTACCTATACTTATGTGTTAAAATAAATAAAATAAATAAGTAGTAATATTTAATTATCTATTGAGTAAAAGTGAGGTTTGACAGACCACCCTAAAATAAAAAGACTTCAGTTCAAAGCCTAGAAAGCTTGTCGCAAACATTGTATTTTATAGTTTATAGGTGCTAAGCATCAGTAAATACATGTGTTAGGTATAGGCGAATAAGTGAGGGAAAGTGAAACATTGAGAATTATTATACAACGGATTAATATACATATTTTCTTACTGAAAACCTATCAAATACCTGATCTATGATATTTTTACACTGCGCTAGATCTACACCGTTGTTTAATCCACTGACTTTTATCAGAAGAGAGATTTGTGGAGATTGTAATATTTTCAGTTGAATTCACGAGTCGATTTAAGCTAGACCACCATCGAAAACCTGGAAGCACTTGACGCCTGTTTCGTTCTAGTATGGGACTCCTCAGTAATGCAGATCCAGTGCTTCCAGATTTTCGATAGTAGTCTAGCTTTGATAGACTCTTGAATTCACTAACTTTTGATATAACACTTTTTCCCTTCATAAATTACAGCTATTTATGCTTGTTACTGTTTCCCCTAATTTTGTACCACAAATGATACAGTTACGTATAGATTTTTTATTTCCTATTTATGATGAATTGTGGTTTTATAACTGGTGGATACTAACATGAAACAATAATAGAAAATACATCGCCTTGATGTTCTGACATTAAAAGAATAATCTTCGTGGTAGAATAATAAACGTCAATGTATTTATTGGGGATGCTCCTTAAGCGAGAGCTATTCATGGTATTAGAGTAATCCAAACTCAGTTACTCCATCTGGAGCGCTTCTGGGATCAATACCGTTCTGACATCTGAGTAAAGAACAAGAGTTGGAAGTGTGGTTAGCAACCTTACATTGTAAAAAAGCTCTAATAAGAAGAAACATCTGGACCGTTTAAAGTCTCTCCTAAAGGTTTAAGGGTTTATAAGTAGACGAGTTATAACGCCTTATAGTGAAGGCTGAAATTCTTTAGAAGTTACAAAGTCGATATCCCTTCTGACAATCAACACAGATACATAGAATTAAACACGACTCAATAATTCAGTGACCTAATTACGAAGGCATAGCTACTGGGAGCAAACAGAGTTTGAATTTACAGCAAAAAGCATTTACACATCCATAGGGTTGATAATTCTTTGAATATAGTCATATTTTATGATATTTAACCGAAGTTCGAAACAACATTATTAACAGAATGGAACTTTAAAGTTTGTTCTCTTTTTTTCTCACTCAATGATACCAATAATGTTAATCACTGAATCTAGTGGACAATTTCTCCAAATGATCCCCTAAAGTTGCACTAAACTATTTCATAGCTTAGATTCACTCTTTCTTTCTTTCTCTCACTCTCTCTCTAATAATCAACCGATTCACAACAACAATATTCGTAAAAAAGAAGACAGAGTGTAAATAAATTAAAAAGAAATTTTATCGCATCTTTAAACTAACCCAAACTGTTGGACACAATCGATAGGCTAACTGGAGAACTGATGCATAACCAGATATTTCAGCTGCTAATGTAGTATTTACGTCAAGAAGAGTAGATGTACCAGAATTAGTCGTTGCATTAACGGTCGTGCTACTTATATTATTATTAATAGTAGTAGGGGAATAAAGACTTGAATTTAGACTAGAATCTAATACACCAGAAGTAGTATTAGTATTAGTAGTAGTAGTAGTAGAAGAAGAAGATGATGATGATGAAGAATTACGTGAATATGAAACACAATGAAGTCGATAGATTTGTGTTAAAATTTCATTAGTTAAAAATCCTTGTGATGTTATACACGAAATATCAGAACTAAATACAAACGTATGATCTTTTGAAATTTGTTCACTTATTTTATTAGCTAATGATAATGATAATTGGGTTAACCAATTCAACAAAGTAGGTTGTATGAGATTGAATGCACGTCTAGCTAAATAGACACGATCACCTTCACCAAGAAATCCTCTCCTAATTAAACAAAAGAAAACATAGATAAATATGTGAGTTAAACAAAGTCACAAGAATTATTACTATTATCAACATTATTATAAATATCATTGTAATTGTAAATAATAACTAAGCTAATAATGAACTAGTAAACATATGGCACGTGAACCTAACTAATGTTCAATATTTTGAATGGAAACACGTAAGATTATTTGTAGCTTCAACAAAAAAAGATGTTGCTTTCTTTTTTTTCTTCATGAAATTTCAAAAGAAGAATCTTAACACAATACTATGGACAAAGATATTTGATAAATATATAATCATCTGTTAAAAATCACCTCATATCTAAGTCAAAAAGTCTACTATATTAGATAAGAATCATCTCAACTATATCTTATCAACAGTGAGTATTCAGCACGTGAGTTAATTCAATGTAAACAATGAAAATAACTAATCCTATTATTATTTTAGTAATCTTAATATAATTGAAAATTTCTTGATGATATTTGTCAGTGATTAATATATAATTCGAAGTATCATAGAGGCAAATGACATCACAATATGATACTTCTAAGCAATCTTCACCAACTAATATACTATGAGGAATAAATCACTGAAGTATTTGAGTTACTTTAATAAATAATGTGTTACGAATAGTTAATTCATAATGTTAATTTCATTTATTCCAGGAAATAATCTCGAAGTGATCCAATTTCATAGACTTCATGGAAACAACTTAATAACCATAAAATGTAATTATCATTACCATGTTTGAAGTGGAAATCTCAAATATATTGAACATTCTGTAGATTGTTACTAATAAAGCTAATATTCTCTTTGTAATATCCCAATGAGTAGAAAGATTACACATTTTGACGTTTTTTGACTTAGCGTAAGCCACTTTTTCAAAGAATGAATTAATTAATTAAATTAACAAAAGTTGAAATAGGAAACAGGGAAGCAAAGCAAAAGTATTTAGTCCGATTAGTCGAATAAAAGGTCTAAGTCAATGTTATTTCATTTATGTGGGATATGTTTCGTATTTGTGTGTAAGTTAATGGGTGAAAAATGTGAATATTTTACGTGAAAAGACGTAGTTGAATTTGTACGTATAATAATAGTGTGGGATTTGAATAGAATCATACATGGTAGTCAGGATAAATGATCGAATTAGGATGGATAGTGAGCCCATCATTTCTAGCGAGGTCAATAAGGTTAAGAAATATATAGAAAGATTCAGCTATTCGCCTTTCTTGGTAGTTCGAAAAGCGATATCGCATCATTTTCGTATCGTAAGTATCGACTTAATGGTTATTGAGGATAGGATGCATCATTATTCCCGATATAATATGGAATCTTTACAACAATACCAGCTCCACTAATGACAACGACGTGTTATGAAAACTGTTTATCACATAACTTCTTTTCATTATAAATTATATTTGAAATAATCTCAGCGATTGAAATTTTTTAAATAATTCCAACGTTTCGTCCAGCTAACTTGTCTGGACGAAACGTTGGAATTATTTAAAAAATTTCAATCGCTGAGATTATTTCAAATATAATTTATAATGACTTCTTTATACTCGGCGCCCAATATCTGTCAAACTATTCGTTCTAATCTTGACGAATATTCGCATAACTTCTTTTCGCTTAAAATTCTCAAAGTCGGAAGACGAAATTATGCCCCGCAAACAGACCAAAAGCACTTCCTGAGATATAGGAGAAGGAGTGATTCAATAAAGAGAATTTTTCTTTCCCAATCACTGGAATCTTCAAAAAAATATTCTTCCACTTTTTGTCTTATAGTTTATACTACTTATTAAAATTGGATAGCATCAATAGATTTAAGGTATTTTACACGATGACCGCATAAACAAGAAATAAATTAGGTTGAAATCTTTAATGAAAACTGACTTCTCTTCCGGAGGTTGTTTCCTTAATTGATGAAATATTTGCACCAAACGCCTCCAATCACCATGATCATGAAGTAGAGACAGGGTTAAACAAACTGAACGGTACATATGAGCTGCGAAATTACCACTTCTATCAATATCAGCTGTTGGAATACGCCAAACACCCTGTAAAAAAATCCAAACACATCATAATCAATCATTGTACATTTTATGCTTATTTTTGGATAATATTATCAGTAAACAAAATGTAAATACTTTTGAAGTGCACACACACATATCTCCAAACAAAGACTTCATAATATCAAAAGACTTCAGTCTATCATAAAATAAGGATTAAATACACCTGCACGACGATGATGAATTCTAAACCATGTCATCAAACTTCTCCAACTACTAGTAGTGGTCATCGTGCCAAACCCAACTGAATAGCTGTCAACCTACCTACTAACATTACTGATGCTATATCTTGGTTCCACCAACCTCTAGCTTTAATCCAATTTACCCTTACACAAGTTTGTATGGCATGTCGGTATGGGTAATATTTCAGCAAACGTAGTGACGCGTCGCTTAATTTATAGTGTACGACAATGAAAGTAGATATTTGATTATTTTATTATGTACTTCCGAATGATAAAAAGGTTTCATTTTTGGTAGTCTGTATAGGATGTTTCAACAAAAATGAAATCAACCACATAACTAAGAAAACGAAACAGTGGTGAGATTACAATTTATGGACAAACCAATAAGGTTTAAGGGAGAGAGTGATGCATTTCAACCGTTTAGCTAAACAGAATCTCCGTATTATAGCTGATGTCAGTTCGTGATGAAAAACAGAACTCTAATTCCTAACCATAAATCCTTAGTCTGATTTCTCACACTAATTTATAACACTCTTTAGACTCTAGTGCATAGGTGGATCTTCCCAAAGTCACTTAGGCGTCACCCAGAGGGCCTCCACAAATTATAGTCTCATTGACACAATAATTTAAATATAATTAAAAATATTCCACATAATAAGAATAGCAGGTGAATAATAATAATAACATACATAGAAAAAGTTATTCTGCTTTCTATCTTTGAATAAACCTCCAATATTCAAGTGAGTAGATGTATTTGTAGTGTTAACATTATTGTTGTCGTTCAAAGTGTTAGTATGAGTAGATGCCAAATGTTTTTGAGATTCATCTGTTGGTCCCAATAATATATCCAATGCTTTACAAGGATCCTATAATGTGGAAGCAATCATAACACAGTATACAAGTAAATCGAAATATATTAACAAAGTATTTGTTCAATAATTTCTACAAAGTTAAATCACATCTATTTAAAAATTAGTTAGAATGATTAGTTCACTATTTATGAACTCATTGTCCTATTCTAAATCGTCTCTCTATATGAATTACTCTACTAGGAAATTTCCTAGACTCTTGAATAATGTACCACAATTTATACGTGCAATAAAATTGCTCCCATCCTCTGTTCGGTGCATCGATGTTTAACTGTTCCATGAAAATACCTTTTATGAAATTACAGGAACTTAAGGTTTTTTATTGTTTTTATTAATGAGCGTATTAATTTGATGTGTAGGCGAGAATGATAATGATTGGTTGTTTACTTAGTCAAACATGCAGATAATCTGACAGGTGTTAGATGAGTTACATATTCCCCTATCCTTATTATTATTATCACTTATTATTGACTGTTCATTGTTGTTGGATTGTGTTGAGGTTTTGTGTGGAAATATATTTATGTTCTCGTCAGGCTAATTGCATGTTCTTGACCTGAGTTGTGTTGAAGTCCTGTAGAATAGACACTGGGAGGGAATCTAGCGTAGATATTTGTCTAAGCTAAATTAATGTCCCATACGTGTAAATGTGGAAAACCAACCGTTGTAACATAATTAAACCGCCGTACCTGCGGATACTGTAATACGTGTCAAAAATGTAATACGTAAATAATTTTTGAAGAACACTTCAAGCAATTTAATATCACATATATCCCCTACATTTAATATTCCTATCCATATCAAGCTGACTATGCTTGTAAACTATCATGAATTCTCTAATAATAATTATTATTAGTTTTCAAATATGTAAAGTTATAAACCCTAAAGAATGTAAGATTATATTTGACCATGTGTATCGAAAGATTTTAATGAAATGTCAATTGGAAGCTTAAGAATACAAATAACACATACAATGAATAAATTATATGATTTAAAACAAACAGTAAGTACATTAATTTAATCAATAAAACAGGTCATAAAATTGATCTTAATTCGGCTTTTGTAGGGTTGCACAAAAGTGTAAAAGGGAATATACTAAGGTTTATTAAAGCCTTAGCCATACGAAAATGCACACCCCCACTGTGTATCTAACACCAGTTTGTTCTCACCATAAACCTAACCTGGTAATATTAACCTATTATCCAGAGTAATGTGATTTCAAATTGTTTTCACATCATTATCCTAGTCTCCTCTTACCCTCCATTTCTAGTGTAGTTGACCTATTATTTTCATATATATTATGTCATCAGATTTTTCGAAATGTATTGCGCTAATATATCATATAGTTCTGATGATCTTCGTCTTCTTATTATACTACCGAAATATATCAAAGGGATTAATTGATTTAAATTTAATATCCATCCTGAATAAAGTACGAACATGTTCGAAAATATAACTTCATCACTCAACTCACACCAAATAAATAAATAAATATATTTTCAAAATAATATCACCAAGAAACAATAGATTTATCTTACTTTTAAATGGGATGCATGCAAATATAGAGAGGCTAGTCGATACATTGCTTTATAATGAAGTGGTAATCTTTGAAGTACCAATTCTAAAGCACAACGGCACCGATCAATACACTTTTTCCATAAACCTTAAACCGTTAAAATTATTGAACAGAAGTAGGAAAACAGAAACAAAATCTATTATACATTAACATTTACGACGAACAGTTGAAAACGATAGTGTAAATTTATAGCATAAATAGATTTTTGTACATCGACTAGATGCTGAAAATATTGTCCAGAATGATAACTAGTCTGGGAATAAAACTATCGTTCAAGAACTCAGCAATATTAAAAATTGTAAATAGTATATGTTTTTCGAAACATGAAGTGTGAACAAAGTGGCTTATGATTAGTATGTCAACATTTTATTGGGGATAATCTATGCTGAACATATTAACAATTCTACTCATAAGGTAGCTCACTATATTTTTCACTAATTCTCCGCTAATTAATAAGACACGAATAACTTTAATTCATGTTTTATTGTTTGGTTGAATCTTCCCATTGATATTTAGGACTGCAATTGATCAGTGTCTTTTTAGCATATATGCATACTGCGCAGATTGCCTCGATATTGCTTTGAGTCACAAGCATTGTAAGCAAAGATGGATGATGGCCAGTAGTTGAATCCAGGACAGGCGTTTTGATCTATCTCAGAATTAATGTTCGTTAACTTTGAGTCCCAGAGTTAACATCAGCTCTGGGATGCAGTTGACAAATCCCAAATAAGACGAAACGCGCGTCCTGGATTCCACTGCTAATCATCATCCATTTTCGTTCATAAATATAACTTCAATTTCTTGATTTAAAACATTTGTAGAAACTGTGAAATATTTATTACAAATTTCAATTCTAAATAAATAATTCACTTTCTTATTATTATTACAAGTGTCGTAAAATGGTTAAGATTGAAATGATCGAGATCGGAGTGGTGAAAAAATATGGGGACTTATAACATATGATCTATGGAGATCTAGAGAGATTATCATCACTTGCTAAAGTATAGATAATACTTTGAAGTTAAAAACGCGAAAGCATAACGACCGATTAAATAGCGTTAGACTTGAAATAACCAACCATAAAATAGAAAAAAAACATGAAGACATTAAAAATTATGATGATAATGACAGATAGATAAGTAAAATGTAGATACTTCCAAAGAGAAAACGTTTACCTAGCTTATTGACACATTCGTTAATCGATGAACGTGATGATGGTTCCAGTAAATTTGTAGATTCCTCTTCATCAACTACTATATGTGGATCAGGTGAAATGAGATCAATAAATTCATCTTGTGATGAGATAGTATTTAGGTTAAGTTTAATATCTAATCGTTGAACCAATTTATCTGCACTAGATTCTTTGATATTAGCTTCATTTGTTCCCATTGGTTTGTTGTGATTTTCACAAGACCCAAGTTGATTAGTTGATTTTTGTAGTTGATTGTGTTTAGTAGATAATCCTGCCATATTGGCTGTTCGTTTACGAGTTCTACGACTGAAAAAAAAAACAAAAAGCACAGTGCATGCTAGTCTACAAATTTTAACATTAGCATACGTAATAAAAGCACCAGATTATGTTCCCACATACGATGAAATACATGTGATTATATTTAGTCACTTAAAAAATATAGTATATTAAAGTACTAAAAATAGAAATATGGTCTGCGCTTTATTCAAGAATTGAATGACATCAATATATGAGAGGTTATATTGACTGTCATCATGTTAAAAAAGCGTTTCTCAAAAGAATCAAAGTAATAACAGATGTTCAACGCTAAGCCTAACAAATCCACCTGAAAGGCTCTCGTAGAAATCACATCCCTAGCAAATATGATGTGAATGAACTCGAAGATTCTAAAAGAAATAGCAAACTATGAGTTGCAATTGTTACGAGTGAACACTTTTGGGATGATAACTTTTTGTACACAAAACATGGTTTGTGAACAAACGCAGATTTTCAAAACAGTAACTGTTGTGTAACTATACGACACTTTAAATTTGCCGATTGATATCGAAATGAAATAAATTTTATTTCGATAAAATCTACCTACAGTGTGAATATGTTCTTGTAAGGATATACTAAATACATGTATGTATTTTACCACTTATTGAAATTATACCTCGAAACAAACCGATACTATTTATTTGGCTAGGCTGTGTTACAAATGAATGAAACAACGAAGTGGAAAGGATCTAAAATCAACTATCTCAACAATGGGAGAACAGTAGTTCATTTATTAAAACAACACTCCTGTCGTGAAAAGGCAGTGAGGACTTCCCTGGCAATGGCTGTATGCACGTGGCCAAGCATCCACGATCCTGAAACAGAGAATCGAACCCAAAACCTTTGGTATCGTGTGCAAATACCTAACCTCTAGACCACTAAGCCGGCATCAATGGTGTATATGTCTATCTTTAATCAATCCATGGTACTGAGACATCTCCCACTGTCTTAAGTAGGAAAATTCCTCCCACGCGATCCGGTTGAACTTCACTGGTCACGAGTTTTCACTCCAAGAATCGTATCTTGAAGCTATTATCTACGGAACACATGATAATTATCATGTATTGTGGAGATTTTTGAATTTTATATTTAATAAACTTCAAACACATAAATAAGCGCCATTTAATGAAGTAAGATAAAATCCCCAGAAACGCATATAAATTACCATGGCTTTTGTGCACTTGTAACAAAATCAGATGAATCAATCATAGTCAGAAATTGGTCTAATTCTAATAAATTAACTGGATAAATAGAATAAGTCGATTGTGAAGATTGATTAGTAACAGTAGTAGTAGGTGGTCCATGCTTTAATAATGTTTTAATAGATAATGCATGAATTCTGTAATAAACCTAAGGAGAAAAATTAAATATCATATTAAGATAGGTATTTACAAAATGATCATTCAGAATATCTATCATATACAACTTTGTAAACCAATCAGAGCTAATAGACAAGTGAAAAAGAAACAAGTTTTACGTGCATTTTATATAAATTCCAATGTTTTTACCATTGTATCTCCTTTGTTCTTAAGATTTAATGGAATCACACAATGTTCAACTCCAATTCTTTCTTCTAATTTTGAAAGAGTTGAAGAAATTGTAGTATTTTAAGGGATACTAGATATACGAACTAATCGAACTATTGATATGGACACTAGAGATTTTTTTGCTACCAACTTTATCGAGACTAATAATAATAACACTAGTAGGATATTTAACAAGTTAAATTTGTAAAGCCTGGCTTTTTTTAAAATAATGTTAGTAATATTACTCTAATTTCTGGCATATTAAATATGAGTACAGAGTATAAACAATATTCAGTTTAATATCATTCACTACATATTCGAATAAATAATATAACAAGTAGTGTGTACAAATATATGCAAATATTAAGCACATATTTATGGTTTGAATCTTCCCATTGACATATATAACTGTAATTGATCAGTTTCTTTGGTACATGTACATCATGTGCGAATTGATTCGATATTGCCACCAATTCAAGATGATTTTATATATAAATTCAAGTCAACAAATATTTTCATATTTCATTTAAATAAGAGATGGATGATGACTAGCAATGGAATCCAGGAAGCAACATAAGCAAGCAATTCCAGTTGACGAGTCTCATATGAAATGAAACGCGCGTCCTAGTTTTCACTGTTAACCACCATTCATCTCTGCTTAAAAAAGTAAGAAAATATTTGTTGACTCGAATACAATTTATTCGCCGTAGTTATCATCATTAACAGGTAGTAGATTTTTTAGTAACCTATTTGCCAGTTACTAAGCTTTAAGCCAGTAATACTATCCAGTTGACCGAACCAAGGTAGGTGGTATGCATTTCGATTGATTGAAAACTGAACAATTTAACCACAGGGCTAGCGCTTTACCAAGAATTATACTTCATAAAGAGTAAAATTTTAAAAAATACAAAACACTAGTAAATACATACTTCAATTGCTTCGACAGCTCTAAATGGTATTTTATTATAAACGATAATTTTTTTCGGATATTTTGCACCAGCTAAATCTAACGCTTTTAATGATTCATGATATAAACGTAAAACATGCATTAAACAAGATCGTGAAGATGAGGATGACTGTTGTTGCATAAGTTGTACATCTTTCTCAGCACATTTCGCTAACATATAATAACATAACCATGCTTCTTCTTCTTCTTTACTCTGTTGAACTAATTTGTTTGTATTATTACTATTGTCAGAAAAGTGATTTTCTAATTTAGTATTTAAATGTTCATTTTTATTAACTGTATCATTTGTCGCTACTTCTTGTGTAATAGTCGTTGTAGTGGTTTGTTGATGTTTCATAATATTACATAAACTTAGTACACTTTCATAAGATGAACGGGCTAACTGTAACATTCGATAACGCCATTTACGACAGAGATTCAAGTGAGCATCCGGAAAATTCCTATATTCTGACTGAAAAGTCATGTAAAAATAGGAAATGAGGCAAAGGCAGAGAAAAAAAATTAGAATAAGAACAAAATGGTTCTGTTTAGTATTAAAAATCGATTATATAATCATGGATTAGAATGTGCATAAAAATACATTTCACTATCATCAGTTCAAAAACCGTTACGCTACATATTTTCTAATGTACGAATATTACACTTGTTTCAGATTTGGACCATGTCTACTCAAACTCGGACCATATATGCACTCGCCAACGTCAAAATTGCTACCATATCACCTGTTTTCGAGTACTTTATAAAAACTCCAAACTTATCACGCAGTTCTATCACATAAAATTCTTTAATGACTTATCGCTAAGTATTTTCTAAATGTTTAGGTGGAGTTTTCTTTTCTGAGCTGTATGGTCGTGGAGCTTTTATTATTTTTCTAAACAACATCAAAAACACAAACTACCTGAAGTTTATATTGATGAAGTTGTTCAGAAAAATAATGAAAGTTTCGTGACCAAACCATCCAGTTCAAAGAATGAAACTCCAACTAAATCATCAACCTGAACTACAAATATTGTCCAACCATTTTTTTAGAATATTCTGTTGAACGGAATTGATCTTTTTAATAATTCTACATGAATAATGTAACTAAACTCACTAATCCATGCTGTAAATTATTGATCAACCCCGTAAAATTATCATGAACCTGTTATTATCAAGAAAACGTTTTTTGTTTGAACTGAATAACTATGAGTGCTAAATGTATCTATGCACGCGCTATAATTAAAAGTCTTACAAATTATTGTGATATAAAATACTGGCAAACTGAGACAAAAATATCGCGGTTGATGAAATCATTTCCGACTTCTTTGTTGTTTGAGGAAAAAAGCGCGAAGTGAATATATTGGAATGTATGTAATTTATAATATAATAGGTGAGGAAAAGTACTTGTAGCAAATAAACGGGTAAAAAACTTCCATGATTAAAGAGAGGTAACATATGATAACACTGGGAAATAATACCTCTAAATTATACTTTTTTGAATAAATATAGTTTGAATGCATGCTGAAAAGTGATTTTTGTTGTATTATTGACATAATATGTACAGTAATTTAAGTCAAACTAATGAATATATAGATGTAAATTATGTACAGACAAATATTTGTTTATATACTCGCAGAGAGACCATATTACCACTAAATGCCCTTGTACGCCCGAGGCTGGGAACCCGCTCTCCCTCTCGAAATGCTGTCGTATGGCCACATGTATATAACCACACCCATGGACATCCTACTCACTACCATCTCGCGTCGAAATTGCTGTCTACGAAAAGCTAATGTCCGGCGCTTGATCCGGGTTAATTGGAATCTACGAGAGTTGAAAAACACTGATCCCAGACCAAAGGTGCACATGGGCTTCAGAATTCTGATGGGATAGATGGAGCACGAACCTATTGTTGGTCACCGGCTACCGTGGGACTGCATCTCCTAACATTGGTCCATCGCCTTGTGGATGAGGTCACTAAACAAAAGGTTCGAGGGGTGGACCCCTAGTAATACTACCCCCTTCGGTTTAGGGGAATATAGAGTGTCCCAACTCACACACAAATCGAATGACAAAGTGTGGTGAATATATACTTGGTGCCTCCGTTTACAAATGTTTGTGTTTAAATAAATAATAAGATCAACATTAGACATACTTTTTTCACAATTCTAGCACCATATGAATGCAATTGATAGGCTAAGCAACCACGTTCAATCAATAATGTGACAGTATCAGGTTGTAAATGTAATGCAACATTAAAACAACGTAAACAACGTGTAACAGCTTCAGCAGAAACTCGTTCAGTTTTTAGATTAGTCTAAAATATAAAAATTAAGAAAGAAACAAGTTTTCAAACAACACAACACCATTACCATTATTCATTAAATTTTTTTTCTCAATTATGAAACATTTTCAAGACATTGATGCAATAATACTTTATAATGAATGCAATTAAGTGAAACAAAAGTAGAAAGTGATTATTGTTTTGATAACATTTTAGATGTTAAAACACGTTAATTTTCTTTGTTGATAAGAAACCTCAACTAAATGATTTCATGAAAATTTCGTTTCATAACAATCTTCATGATAAAGAAAAAGTAATCGTCAGTTAGAAAACGACTGAAGAATGACTGATTTAGCATTGCATACATATGACCTTCAGATCCACAGTTTTAACATCTGTCATATAATGTATTGTCCAACAGTGTTAGGTAGGAGTATAACTACTGTTAGCTTAGTTCAACACTGAAGTACTTTTAATTTGTTTTATTTCACATGCCATTATATGTGATATGTTTGCTTCTAAATGATATAATGCTACACAGATAATCTAACAGTTATAAACACTAGCATTTTTTTTCATTCTGAAAACTACTGAGTAGAAAAAGTATCTTACACTTGCATTATTATCAGTACAGAGTTGTGGAGATTGTTGAGTTTCATGGAAATCATGAACCAATCAATGTTAGACTGTCATTGAAAACTTGGAAGTACTGGACGATCGTTTCATCCCAGTATAGAACTCGGAAGTAAGCATCCACGATCCCACACCTGGAATTCGGACCCAGTACCTTCGGTCTCATCGTGCTCAGTAGAGTTCTACGGTGTCGATAGTTACTCACCGAAGACAGCGGGAAAAGGTCGTGCAGCATCGTGGACTGGCTGACGATAGACATTAACACCGTCGGATGCCAGATCAGTGGTCTAAACCTTAAGCATTTGCGCGCGCGACCCAAAGTCCTGGGTTCAAATCCCGCGTGCAGGATGCTGCGTGAGCACCTCTGGGGAGTTCAATACTGGGGTGTAACGGTCTTCCAGTGCTTCTAGGTTCTCAATGGTGATCCAACATTGATCGGCTCATGATAAAGGTAAGAGGTAATTGGCTAGTGAGCGAAGATAGACACATCCAGCTATATTAAATATATGACACCATATAATGTAAATTCTTTCTATTATTAATTCAACTCGGATTTTATTCTATATAGACTGTAAGTAGGCTGTGTTAGCAAACTATTGTCCTGACTTATAGAGGATTTTCAATCGCTGTTCGAACTTTTTGTAATTGGTTTCAAGTAATTTATATAAGGATCTGATGTGTCAATCAAGTGCCCAATCTAGTTATAAGTCTTTTAATCTAGTGTCAAGTCACGCTTATCCTACTGGTCGTAGTTGAGTCGTATTTATTATCGAATGTAAACAAATCCTACTTGTTTTTTGTCATACCACATCGCATCTCATTATGCAACTAGCAAGTATACAACATTCATTGAACTTGGTAACCTTGTAAAAATTTGATGTAATAAAACTATGAATAAAACTGATAAATAAACTAAGAGAGAGTTCGTGACATGAACAATTAGCGAAATTAACTTTCGATGAAACCACTTGAAATAGCTTTCATTAAGAAACTGATTCTTATAAACGAGTTTTAAATAAGTAGAGTTAAAACAGAACCCCGACCACGGTAACATACAAACGGTCTTCTACCAACTGAGTTGACTAAGTTATTATTCGGTTGAAGTTAAACATTGTTGATCTAAACTATCATTTAAACTATAGGCTCAAATTAATTGACCAACCAAATAAGAACTTTTGTATGATCTGTACACGACCAACAACACTTGAAAAACAAAGCCAAAACTATGCAGTAAAATAACTAATAAACATCAACTATTCTATGGAGAAAACAGTATGATTTAAAGAATTACCAAATTTAAAACTTGTTCCAATTCACTTGAATAAATCAAACCCAATGAAGCCCATGTATCTACACGTTGTGGAGAAACACATAAATCTTGTAAGTAATACTCCACAGCACGACTAGATAAAAAGAGAAAACAAAAAAGTAACAAATATCGACTGATTAATTCATGCTTCAACGGATAATGGTATTTTATTTATAAATGAAATGAAATGAATTCATCTCATCTGTTTATGTCTTCCAATACATCAACATACGCACTGATTTGTACAAATAAATAAATCTGTTACAATGGTAATTTCATGTGTAACACGTAAAAGTCACTTAGTTCAGTAGTGAAGAGAGACAATTAAAAGTAATTTCAATACTCATACAAGTTCAGTATATAGGTGAACGGATAGAGAGACCATGATGCAACCGAATGCATTATTTATTTATCCAAACGTATAAACATTGGTAAAAGGAGGCACCAAATACACATGCGCCACACTTCAACATTCAATTTATATGAGGGATGGAATACTGCACGGAGGCCCAAACCGTAACAGGTAGTTATTAGAAAAGCCATTTCTCCCGTTTTTGATCTAAACGTATGATTCACAAGACAGTAGAGCAACGTAAGGAGACGCAGTCCCATCAGAGCCGATATCAGTCAGTCAGTAACAACGTGGAACTTCGTACGTACGTACATCAGTTCGAGTTGCCATACCACATTAGCACAGAGATTCAGTTATCGATTCAAACCCCATAGTGGTAGAGGTAGTAGATAGGGAACACTAGCGTTTGATGATGTTATTTAAGGAGTATAATCCAGTGGAATAGATTTGGAAAGAAAATAAAGGACATGGAGAATTCAGAAGATTAGTGTTTGGGAGAACACAGAGAGTGGATGCAACTGCGCCATTGCAAACGATTTTGAGCCATGTCATTCAACATCTCTAACCATCGGTTGCTATCATCTCGCGGTCCCCAACCAAGTAGTCTACACCTACCAACATGGCTCAGTCCACTTGTCAGAGACTTCATGGATTTGTGTCATGTTTTGGTCTGGCCGCCCCTAGTTTTCTTCCAACCTACTCCTACACCAGAAAACATAGCACGTCAGGGCAGTCGGTGGTCGGGCATGTGCAACACATGTCCCAGCCATCTCAACTGATTACGTTTCACTACTTCCTCAATTGATTTACCATCCTTACCTAGTACCCGTTTCCTAACAACTGCATTACTTACTCGGTGGTCCCAGGATATACGAGCGATGTTTCAAAGACATCTATGGTCAAATACTAGTAACCTACGAATATCCTCTATTCTTGCTGGCCATGCTTTACTGCTATAAAGTAGGACGGAACGAACTGCTGCGCAGTAAACACGTCCTTTGGTTGATAGACGGATATCTCGCCTACGCCACAAATGACGCAAGTTGGCAAGAGCTGGTCGAGCCTTTTGTATCCGTGCTGAGATTTCGTCACACATCAGACCACAAGGGCTGATGAGACTTCCAAGATAAATGAAGCGGTCGACACTCTCAACTACTTCACTCCCTATCACTAGTTCGGGTGTCGACGCAACCCAATCCTGAAACAACATTTTGCATTTCGAGGGAGAAAATAGCATGCCGAACATGCTTGCATTATTGCTTAGAGTGGTCAGCAGACTCTGCGTTTTGTCAGCGCCTTCACCAAATAGAACTATGTCATCGACATACTCTAAGTCAACAAGTGAATCTTTCGGTACAAGTTCAACCCCTGGAAAATCAGATGTGGGAAGTGTTCCTTCTAAAAGCAAGTTAAACAAGAATGGACAGAGTGGACCGAGAATAGGTTCATACAACATTCGTTCCCTCAGGATCCTGCAACCCATATGCACCATTGATTTGGAATTAGGGTTTTCCAACTCCATGAGGTGGATCTTACGTACCGACCAACCCAGTTTGAGAGTCGGACCTTCGCATTTCTTTCTCTCAATTTCGTAAACAACACTCCTGCTGTGAGTAGGACTTCCTTAGGAGTGGCTGTGTACGCGTGGCCACGTGAGAGCATTTCGAAAGGAAGAACTGACTCTCCGCACACTCGACCGTACCGGGACATTTGGGGGTAAAATGACGGGATAGCGAAGGTAGTCACTCGAATGTAAGAAACATGTGCAAATGTTTGTGATTACAGAAGATAAACATGATGAAACTGATAGCGACCACCAGAAACCAATGGTAACGTACTTTTATTAATGCCGACAATAGTTTAAATGAGTATGAGAGAAAATTGAAGTACTTAGATGTTTAAATCAAATAATCTTAAAATAACAAGATTAGTTCAAACAGCAATAAAATAGAAATGAGAACTTCGATAATATTAACAGTGAAAATGTTAATGTGGTGAAATAAAGATGAGATCCGAGAGAGAAATCGAAGGAAGTGAAAAGTGAGTCAGTCAGAATGATAGAACCAGGTGAACCACAAGTTCTTTTTGTACACGGAAATTGGGGTTTAGGTAGCGAATAGCCACTGATTCTACATAACATAGAGGTCTGCCGGTAGTCTATCTATTTATTTACTAGTGATAGGTGTTCGAAAATTCATAAATTCGATGAAAGTAGTTGAGTGTAATGCACAACAACAGAAATTGATATCGAAATGGCAAAGGACCATTTTTGCGTAATAAGTGAGTCATCAAGTGAGCAATATTAGGTTTAGACAAACGATTTGCTTGAATTTATGAATTACTAAACCAATCTTTCATGGTTCAATATGATTTTAATAGGTATTCAACAATACACACAATACTAATGGTAGATCTTGGATACAGTACAAAAAACACTATCAGGATCTTGGAAATATATATCCATTAAATTTATGAAGCCAGATAACATCATCGGACCTCAAAACAATACAGTTTGGCTTAAAGCTCAATACATCAACTTTTACTTGGTTAGTGAGTTAACGAAGCATTTCCGAGAAGATTGAATAGGTAGTCAGGTGTATTGAAAGAATCATGTAGAGATCTTTTTAAAAAACGATTATGCTGTACCTATTAACAGAAAGGTAACTCCATGAATGTAGGAGCTAACAACTATCACCCTTAACCCATACTCGCTTAGTCAACGTGTAATAAGTAACAATTAAAGAATTCAACGAAGAAGAACAAAATACAACTTACTCAAAATGATTATTTTTCATATAGTGATCAGCGATTAAATAATACATAGATTTGGTCAGAAAACTAGAAGTATAAAACATAAAAATCAAAAAAATGAGGATAAGGTTTATCAATAAATAAAGAATTTTCCAACTGTATATCTTAAACAATGATTATTTTTGGAATAGATGGATTATGGTTACCAATGGAATCCAGAATACTGTCTAATTCTATTTGTGATACATAAGTTGCATGGACATACATTCTAGTATTGATGATCACATTGGGGCTGAAATCAATTATCAATACGTTTTCCCTTAAACTAATGAACCCAGATAGTCACTAAGTTTTTCCACAAAAAATGATCTGATGTCTATATGATGATTAAAGTGTTTGAGTTATTCTAAGAGTAAATACTCAAACTTGTGATAAAGTGGTTATATCGAGGCAATTTTCCCTGGATGCATAGAGAAAGCCAACAAACGCTGATCGAAATTCTGTCTTTAGTATTGGCAACGAGATGATTCAAACCTATGCAAATAGTAATATAAACAACGCTTCTGTAGTAGTTTGAGATCATAAAGTAATTAAAATCTAGGAGCCTCAAACATGATTTAATTCATGACATTCAAACCTCGCAAGCGGTGAACACGTTAATTCAAGATCAATAACTCAAGATATAAAGGTCAGAATTCATAACTTAAGACAATTTATGGTTGATAGGTACTACGATTATCCGATGAAACGAGTGATTTGTTTTACGATATGAAAAGTCTACTGATAATGAAGATTACCACTTTTCAAACCTTGACGGTTCTCTAAAAGTCATGAAATCATCCATAGAACAACTGTATGGGACTCGTATTGCCATTTCAGTTGGTTTACATATATATCTAACTAAAATTATTAACCATCGGTTGAAATCGTTTCATAAACCCCAAGAGAAAAGCACATACTTTTGTAATTTTTAACAAATTTAGTTATTTACAAAATATATTAAGATAACGATGAAACTGTAATGAAATAAGTTAGTAATAAATAGTACTCAAACTTATTACCACTAACCTTAATCCTTTAGGAACAGATGGTAAATGTTGAGTATCTTTTACCTTTGATTGAATTATCATGTCTATTTCACTTTTTGGTAAAATTTTCTTAGATTCACTAGTTGATATGAGTTTTGATGCATCACATAAAAATTTCAACATCTATATAAGCATCGAATGAAAAAAAAGGAAGAAAGAAGAAAATATCAGTAGAGTATACTATGCAATTTTAAACACATTCGAATAGTGACTAACAGTGGAATCCTACTTATGAATCGTCAGCTGGATATATCTGCACATACCTGTTGATGTTCGCTTTGAGACTCGAACCTAGTGCTTTTAAGCTCCAAACATCCAGGCTGTTATAAACTTAGCTAACTGAGTCCATAAAGCCATCGGCTTGTACATATAATCCGAATTATAATTCAGCTTTAAGGACTTGAAACTCCCCATTATTAAAGCCAAGGGCTGCAGCTGAACGGTCTTTTTGATATTTCCGAAATTCAAGAATATCTCGCATCGCTTTATAATCCAATGGTAAAAACCTTTCATCCAGATTTCGAAAAGGTTTTTTTCAAGTACCAATTGCTAAATAACAAAATTTTAAATCTAAAAAACACTATAAACAACCTCATCAAATTGGATTATATGAGGTTTTTGATACTCATAATTTAACAATAGGAAAAACCCCAATGAATAATAGCCATCAGCTGTCACTATCATAAATAAATCCTGTTCCAGTGATCTGGAGCTTAGGAGTTTGCATCCGAGTCCCGATTACGAGGTCTTGGGTGCGCACTTCCGAGGAGTCTCACGGTAGGACGAAACGGCCGCCCAGTACTTCCAGATTTTCAATGGTAGTCTAACATTGACCGGTTCATGATTTCCATGAAACTCAACAGTCTCCACAACCCTATGATATATATATATATATATATATATATATATATATATATATATATGCTAATCCTAGAATCAACTAAAAAACAAGTACTACATCACCGTGTATGCGTACTTTCTAAAGCCTTGACAACAAGAAAAAGTAATATTTCCCTTTCCTTTTGTTCGGAAATACTACATGCAGGCAAAAGTGGTCTTAATATCATGATCAGTACGTCAGATTTTGTAGCTTCTGACTATCTCTTTATTATTCTCACGCTGTGAATTGCACAACTGAACTTCCTATCTCTTTCCATCTCCCTCTCTCTGTCTCCTTACACGATTTTGTCGCCATATTACTCCACTTATAAATTTTTCTTTGAATTATGAAAACACCCATGCAGTTAAAATACCCTACATTATTTGTGATAGTGAAATGTGAACTCTGTTTATTTGTTACATTTTAAATATGAACCATTAAAGAATTAAAGGTTATGGGCCTTGAATTTTAACAAATTAATACATAACACTGAATCATTAAAATTTAGAGTTAAACAAAGGAAGTTAGCAACACCAAAATGTTACGTCACATACGTTAGTCATATTGTACCTGCTTAACTATGAATAGTTTGTATAATTAAAATATCCCATAAAACATAAGTGTATGAAAAAAAGACAATAATACTAATGATAATTTAACTAATCAGTTTATTTCAACATACTTCAGTTGATACAGAAAGTGTTTTAATACTGTCGTATTCTGGGAAAGGACTAGGATAAGAGATCAAAAAAATGACCTTTACACATTCCCAGTCTAGTGACTGAAATGAAAGAAGAAAGAAAGAAATATTAAGGCACGGTGAACTAGTAACGGTTGAATTGCAACAAAATTATAATATTATATGTACACTGAAAGTTTAACTAGTACATGATTGAGAAAAGGCATATAAACAGAGATCTTTTTAAATTTCATTGGTTGTATGCATCACAGATCGATCTCAATCGGGATATCATTTAAAACCAGACAGTATCAGGTAAATGTTTTGTTCAACTTTTGGATTACTAAGCACTATGAACTCACAACCCCACTAGGGGCCGAATCCAGGACCTTCTGGTCTCGTTACGAACCTATAACTATCAAAATCACTGGCGTCCATGTTCAATGGTACAATTTCAACTTTAATCAATTTTCGATGTAATGAAACCACCAACTAACCGACAAATATTTCACTCCCGACATGTCTGAACATAAAGAATGTCTTGAAGTGTAATCATTAACAAGTTGACTGTTATGGTTTAGTACTAAAACTAGAATTAATCTGTAACGAATATCATGTAATAGGAAGAAAATCGAGAATTTGTAAACTGTGGAACTATCTTATAAGGAATCGATGTTTTTGTATTTCAGTTGTAAAATTATTAGACGTTTGGATTATTGTATCCTTATATTCTCCTAATTACGATCTTTTATTTGGTGCATAAACAATTGGTGAACATTTGAGATTTTCCAAGTTATTATTAAACTAATTACCAACCTATTACTCATATTTCTTTTACTTATGGTGTTGTTACACCCATGCAGTAATTTAGATTTCATTTTGATGTACAGTCAGCATTTGACTCTATACTATTGTGTAGGTAATTCACAAATTTAACCAAACTCCAACAAAAAGAATTACTTTCACTAAGTTAGACTTTTAACCGTTGGGAATGGATATCAAAATATATCCAATGTTGTACTCTATATACAAATCCAATCTATTTTAGAATCTATTATCGTTACATTATTGTAAAAATAGAATATAGAAAGAAAACTAAAAACTCAGTATATGTACTCTACTTCAATGAGTATACTTATCGATTATAAATCGTTTAAACATTATAAATAACATTTTTTTGGTAGATTAACGATTCAACATGATTTGAAGCAATTCGAAAGACTCTCCCGGTCTCCCACATTGTACGAACATTCCATGTACCTAAATAAATAGTTTCTCTGGTTGTCAGGAGGAGCATCGGCCACATGGCTTTCGAAGGAACTCGGCTTTCACTATGGGGTGTCATAACTCATCTAAATGAAGACCTTCTGATTCCCAGGGCAGAGTCTAATTGGCTTGAATAATTTTTTCTGGTTAGCACTTTCTTAGCGAGTAAGATTTCTACGGGATGGAGTCGCTAACCCCATACCCAATCCTTCTCCTTTATCCGGGCTTGGGACTGGCAGTAGCCCCAGAGGGGCTTCAGACGGAGTTATTCAATATGATATATATGGATTATTGAAGATAGGTAGCTTTTTGTTTAAGTAACCATGCCATTTTGTATTCGAATATTTCTAATTTAACTTGCATATATTAACCGAGAAAAAATCCAATAGTAATTATCTATCACACGATTTGAGACAAGAAAGTAACAAGATTAAAACGAGTCATAGTCTTAATGATAGTAAAAGACTAATCAGGGAGTACAATCTGGAAAGAATGACTACAAAGGAAAAATAATAATATTAAAACTTAGTTTGAAAATAGAAAGAATATATCGGCTCCACTGTAACCGATTTTGAATCGTGTCTTCTCACTTATTGATTATGATTATCATATGTGATTCCCTTCACTTATAACTATTTTATTAAATTTATTAAATAAATTTAAAATTAAACTTAACGATATTCTAATGGAAGTCTTCGCTTAAATTTCATGTACTCAATGTTCCATATAGACCTTATAATAGACAGGTGTGCGTATAGATTCATGCTGACATCATTATAGAAGACTCGGCCAGCCTAAGATATAATTAATTCACATTCACAAAAGTAAACTAATGTGTACCCATTCCAACGCTTTCAGTCAAACCTGTTTTTAAGGAGAGGAAGGTGATAGAACAAGATGAAAATGCAAAATTACATTTTTAAATTAGTGTAAATTTTATTAAACATTGCTTCCCTTTTTTAATTCAATACGATAAGTATTCAGTGTAATACATGTTTAATTTCTAGTGTGATATTTTGTTCAGTATAACGTTGCCTTTTTTTAGTATGATGCTCATTCAAGATATGATATTATTTGCACCAATTCAGTATGGTTTTATTTATTATGCCATTTGAACACATAAATATTGGTACAAGAGGGCACCAAATATATATGCGCCACACAAAACAATGAGAATTTGAAAAGAAAAAAAAGAGGGTAACGAGCGTTAAAAATAACAATAACGAACAGGTTAGTGTATGGTAGTGTATTAATGATAATAATAATAATAATAATAATAATAATAATAATAATGGGGGAAACGAAAAGTTATAATCAGAAGAAATCTTACAGTTAAGGAAGAAGCAACCACTTTTTACGAAGAAATTAAAAGTAGTTTACAGCAGAATCACCACTGGCTTCTATTCTGAGTCATATCTGATAACGTCTCTAGCCACTGTGTTACACCATCTCTCGGACCCCAGACAGGGAGTCGTGAAGGACCAACACAAGCCAGCCCTTCGCAGCTTTCTTTCATACCACGACACCATGTCATACACTGACCACCTCTCCGCTTTTCTAAGCCAATCCCAGAGTCGGCAAATAATGCACGACGAGGAATTCTCTGGGACGACATTCGTAGAACATGTCCAAGCCACCGATGTCGGTGTTTCAAGATGGTGACCCCAAATGGATTGTCGTCTCTGTGCCCGAACACACGGTGCCGAACCTCTGCATTACTAACATGGTGTTGCCACTGGATGTCAGCAATCCTTCGGAGCCAGCGATGATCAAACACAGAGTCGTCTAACATCCTCAACTCGGAGAGGCCAGGTTTCATAAGCATCGAGCAAAACTGCTCTCAAAGACGCGTTGTAGATCCGCGCTTTAACCGGATCACAAACCAATGGTGAACATAGCCTCCAGGATTCTGAAGGGACAAATGGCGAATGAACCAATTGTTGCCCATAGGTTTCCATGGGACTGCATCTCCTCACGATGCTCCACTGCCTTGTGGGTTAGACCTTTAGGTCGAAGGCTCGGGGTGTGGCTTCCTAAGAAAACCACCTGCTTCGGTCTAGGCACCCGGGCAGTATCGCAGCACACACAAATATGATGAAATGTTGATATTTATGGAAGATACTTTTCTTGCTTCAATTCAGTATGGAACTCATCTAGTATGATATGTAGCTTGAGTTTTTGTAGAAATCCAGTGTATTTCCTCTATATATAACAATTATTAACTAGTCACCAAGTCTAAGTAACATCAATATATGAATGAGTGTATTTATGTATCATTTCGCTTCATACCCATGGTCGAATAAATCCAATAGCACTAATTTTTGTGTCCTCACTACGCGTCTTTAGATTCAGGATCCCAGTACTAACCATAAACCAGTTAAGCGATTCACAAATATAACAGTGATAAATACAACCCATATAAATAGTAATAATCAAGAAGAAAACTGTAAATAACCTACTCTTTGCTGATCATCAATCGTAGCTGGATTCCACCAATTAGCTTTATTCAAACTATTTTGTTGTGTTGGTTGTTGTAGATATGGATGATCAAATATATCAGAAGAAGTGTATAAATTCTTTAAAGTATTAATCCATTCAGGTAAAAAATTAACATAATTATCGACGGATTTCTTTTTGATACCATCAAAAAGTTTTGCAAAATCAGATGATTCTAGTAATTCCAAGAATAAATATTTCTCCATTGGTGATTGATAGACAGTAGTAATTTCACGTGTTAATGAACCACCCAATAGACATTTCACTGCACAACTTAATACTTGAGTTAAACAAACACAATCAATTGGCCAAGATTTATAAGTTATACTCTTCTGAAGATCATCTGTACATGCTATTGTATTATCATCCGGAGAAACTGGGTTTATGAATTCTTCATTTGTTTGAATAGTTGAACATTCAGTAGAAATTTTATTAAATGATATAATTTTATCAGCTGGATAATCACTACGATTACCTGTTTCTAGATATGTACGCAAATCAGGTGAATAAAACTTTGCACTTAATAATTGTAGTTGTCTACTACTTCGTATCACTATCTGTATTAATAATTTCAATAAGTGTGGACAGTCACGACATGAAATATTTACACCGGACACTTGATTATAAGCAAATAACACCAGAGACAGTTCATGGAATAAATGTAAGCAAGCAATACTTGGAGGTGCACTAATCGTTCCACTATAAGCATTAACTTTCAATTCAAATGGTATATCATCAACTGTTAATTCTGCATCAAATCGATAAATACGCAATTCAACTGGCAAAGCTGAACAAGGAATACTATGTTCTATACTAAAAATAGTAATGGTAAATTCAGTTATTACATAATTAAATAGTATAGGGGATTTGTGAAGATTGTAGAATTTTCATAGTTTAGATCTTAGCTAGAACACCGTCAAACGATTGGAAGCACTCAATCGCCGTTTCGTCATAGAATCAAGCCCACGACCTTTGGTCTGGCATCCGAACGCCTAACCGCTAGACCTTGAGACCACTCTAACGAGAAACCATAACCAGTGAAGTTCAACCGTAGCGAGTGTGATATATTTATCCACATCGGCCAACGGATGAGGATTGAGCAATATCGTGAACTGATTGAGGTTAGACATTAATATCGTTGAATGCTGGCTCAGTGGTCTAGAAGTTAAACGTTTGCATGAGAGAACGAAAGTCTTGAGTCTGATTCCCTGTGATAGGGTCATAGCTGCGTACTGTTGAGAAGTCCCATATTAGGCTGAAAAGGCCGTCCAGTGCTTCCATGTTTTCAATGGTGTTCTATTTGAAACTAGTTGTTGACTAAAACATAACTATTTAAACAAAAGTGATGTAGACATTAGACAGTTAAATTAAAAAGAACAAAAAATAATCAGTAATATATTCAATATCCTCGATGATAGAACTTATTCATAAAAACCGGAGCAGTAATTAGTTGGTCACATTATTCACTGACTTCCAAGATGGCTGTATATCACCAGTAAATGTTGGTACGTCAAAACTCCCTGGTCGAGATCTTGAAAATTCTGCAGCTCAATGGATTGAAATGTTATCACAAATAGTTATTTACTTACTCCTGTTACCCCTCGTGAAGGAGAATAGGTCGCCCACCAGCATCCTCTACCTAACTCTCTCCCGTGCAATTCTCTCCAGTTGCTATTCATCCTTTTCATGACTGCTCCCAATTCCCGATGTAGTACGTTCTTCGGCCTTCCTCTTTTCCGTTTACTTCAGGATTCCAAGTTAGGGCTTACCTCGTGATGCAGTTTAGTGATTTTCGTAATGTATGTCCTATCTACCTCCAGCATCTTTTCCTAATTTCCACTTCAGCAAGAAACTGGTTTATTCTCTCCCACAATAGGCTGTTGCTGATGGTTTCCAGCCACATATAACTTGCTCACAACAAAACTATATTACAGTTTTCTATTACTTTCTTTCTAAAAGTGAGATAACCCATTTTTTTAGTTGAAGGACGTTTTTCATGGCCGTATTTTTAACCAAATTTAGTACTTTATTTATTACTATTTATATTCAAATATCGATTGATTGTACGACTCTCCATTTATCTCTTCACATTATAACTATCCTATTTATGTAGCGTTAGTATTTTTGGCGCTCTCTTTGACCAGACTCGTGTATTTAAAATATTGTTATTATTAATAATAATAGTAACATTAATAGTAATAGTAATGGTAATCGTAATAGTAATAGTAATATTAATAATGATTTGAACCAAAAACAATGAGTGAACTTACCAATATAAATGTTCATATATTAAAGAAATGAATTGTAAATAGAAATTCATTTTCCAATTTGATAGTAAATTAACCGATGTACGTATAATACATATTAATAAATCAATGAGAACAGTTACCGTTCGACATGCTTCAGAAATTGTTAACCATGATGTTACTTTATTTATATTCATTTCATACACTGACACATCATCACTATCATTATCATGGTTGTTGAATGGATTCAATTGATTATTTTCTGTGTTATTGTTATTCTTCACCTTTTTATTAAAACCATTACAACTATTTTTTTTATCAAAAGTAATTATTACATCATCATCATCATCATAAGATGTGAATAATTTTAGTGGTAAATTAGCATATAAGGATATATCAGTTGATGTGTTTAATGTTATAGTCGATTGATTTGAATAAGACTGATTATTATCATTCATATACTCATCACCCATTAATATCCAACACCTATATTCATAAAAAGAAGAAATATTTTTTGATAACTTGTAACAATAATTACACTTCTAAAGAGAAAAAAGATAATACATTGACAAGTTTTATTCAGTTTATACTATTTATACTATATAACAGTTGAATCATATTTGTGTAACCCGGGGTCATATTAGATGTAAAATAGTCAGCCACATTTATCAACATAGATTGAAACATCAATATTCACGAATGAATAAATCGATAGACAAGATAAACAAGTACATCTATGATGATGTTGATAAACTGGTCATCAAAATGAAATAGGTAATATTTTAAGTAGAAATGTATGGTGACTAGCAGCGAAATCTAGGATGCACGTCTCTTCCTAATTTAGGACTCGTCAGATGGATGTAAATTTCCACAACGGGTCATGAACCTAGTAACTTTCTCTTGAAAGGTTATCACGTTATCTACTTAAATATTGAGTCCAGATAGTCACTGCCTTCTGCAATGGGGTAAATTTTAATCCATATATATTGATTGTTTGAAACTACTCATTGATGTTTAGGACTACAATCGATCAGTCTCTTTTGGTGTATGTGCATCCTGTGATAATTCCCAGTAATTCACCAGCATTTTGAAGAGGAACACACAATAATTAAAATTCACGCAATTGCACAAGGTAGAGACCATCTGGACTCAGTATTTAAGTAGATAATGTGATGGCATTCCAAGAGAAAGTTACTGATTCAAGTCCTGTTGTGGAAATTTACTCTAAATGCAGACACATACATTTAACGAGTTCCATCCTTTACATAAGTCGGATAATGAAGTGTAATGCCTCCTTGTACCAATGTTTATGTGTTCAAATAAATAAATTATTTATTTATTTTATTTATTTGAACACATAGATATTGGTACAAGGAGGCACCAAATACATATGTGCCACACAAGTCTCATTTGACTTGTGTGAGGGCTGTGATACTGCCCGGGTGCCCAAACCGAAGTAGGTGGTTTTCTTAGAGAGCCACACCCGGAGCCTTCGACCTGAAGGTCTAATCCGAGTGGTCATTTCGAGAGGGAAGGCGGGCCCACCCCACTTTCGGCCGTACCAGGGCATTTGGGTGCAATAAATAAATAATAAATACTTTGTCAACATTTACTTAGACAAAAAAAGCTGACTAGTACATTACCTAAAATGCAATAATATATCACATGTATCACATAATTACAACACTTTCATTGACTAAATGTATAGATTCATGTATTGAAGTGTGAGTCGAATATATAAAAATGTAAAAAGGGGGGTAACAAATATTATTCTCTTAAAATTCACCACAATTCAATGAATAAAAAGCTTACAGCTGGGTTATAGTTCTTATATACACAAGACGCAATCTACGGTGATCATTCAATAAAGGAAAAGATAATCTTTAAAATTTGAACAAGCAAACAAACAAATCAGAAGACAAATAATTACGCACATACCTATTTAAAAATTTAATTATTTTGATTATAATTGATCCAACACTACGAACAGAGCCCTCAGTGATTACTTGCTCATGTTGATTTAATTTATTCAATAGAATTAAACACTCCTCAATGACTACAGTACAATAACAATATAATGAGTGAACATCTAAATAAGAAATTGTATGCATACTACTATCGTCTTTATTACTATTAGTAGTAGTGGTAGTATGATTAGTTTCACAAGAAGGAGAATTGTTAGTTTTATTATTTATTATTAAAAACAATTTTGTCATTATTTAGTGTTAAGTTCATGACTAAATGTTTCAATGAACCATAGCATAAATCCAGTTGTTTGATGATAGAGTGATAATGATCATATGGATCGGACGAAGATTGTTTCTGAAATAATGAAGAAAAAACAACGAACAAATATTTGATTTCGGAAGAAATATCTTAACACGTTAATGTTTGCTTAGGTTGGTTGCCAATATATATATATATATATTACTTACTTACTTACGCCTGTTACTCCCAATGGAGCATAGGCCGCCGACCAGCATTCTCCAACCCACTCTGTCCTGGGCCTTCTTTTCAAGTTCCATCCAATTCTTGTTCATTTTTCTCATATCTATCTCCATTTCTCGGCGTAATGTATTCTTTGGTCTTCCTCTCTTCCTTCGACCTTGAGGGTTCCATATGAGGGCTTGTCTTGTGACGCAGTTCGGTGCTTTCCTCAATGTGTGTCCTATCCACTTCCAGCGCTTCTTCCTGATTTCTTCCTCCACTGGGATCTGATTTGTTCTCTCCTACAGTAGGTTGTTGCTTATAGTGTCCGGCCAGCGGATCTGAAGTATTTTGCGTAGACAACTGTTAATAAACACCTGTATCTTTTGGACGATGGATTTCGTAGTTCTCCAGGTTTCCGCGCCATACAGTAGAACTGTCTTCACATTTGTATTGAAAATTCTGACTTTGGTGTTGGTTGCTAATTGTTTTGAGTCCCAGATATTCTTCAGTTGTAGATATGCTGCTCTTGCTTTGCCAATCCGTGCCTTCACATCTGCATCAGATCCACCGTGTTCATCGATGATACTGCCCAAATATGTAAAGGTTTTTACATCTTCCAAAGCTTCTCCGTCAATTGTGATTGGATTGGTACATGTTGTGTTGTATCGAAGAATCTTGCTTTTCCCTTTGTGTATATTGAGACCTATTGCTGCTGAGGCTGCAGCTACACTGGTTGTCTTCTCCTGCATTTGTTGTTGCGTATGCGATAGAAGAGCCAGATCATCTGCGAAGTCTAGATCATCCAACTGCATCCTAGCTATCCACTGTATCCCGTGCTTCCCTTCAGATGTTGATGTCTTCATGATCCAGTCGATCACCAGGAGAAAGAGAAAGGGTGAGAGTAAGCAACCTTGCCTGACACCGGTCTTTACTTCGAACGACTTTGTCAACTGTCCTCCATGAACGATCTTGCAGTTTAATCCATCATAGGAATTCTGTATGATATTGACTATCTTCTGAGGCACACCGTAGTGTCGAAGAAGCTTCCATAGGGTTGTTCTGTCCACGCTATCAAATGCTTTTTCGTAGTCGATGAAGTTGATATAGAGTGATGAACTCCATTCAATTGATTGTTCCACAATGATCCGTAGAGTTGCGATTTGGTCTGTGCACGATCTATCCTTACGGAATCCTGCCTGTTGGTCTCGAAGTTGGGCGTCTACGGAGTCCTTCATCCTGTTTAACAATACCCTGTTGAAGACTTTTCCTGGTATTGAGAGAAGAGTGATTCCCCTGTAGTTGTCACAGTTGCTGAGATCGCCTTTCTTTGGTATTTTGACTAGAAGTCCTTCTTTCCAGTCTTTTGGTACCTGTTCCTCATCCCAGATCTTTTTGAAGAGAGTTTGGAGTATCCTTGCAGTTGCCGCTACGTCTGCTTTCAGTGCCTCTGCTGGAATGCTGTCTAGTCCTGCTGCTTTGCCACTCTTGATTTGTGTGATAGCCATGCTGATTTCTTCAATTGTCGGTGCGCCAACATCAATTGGGAGGTCCGTGAGTGCTGCTTCGATGTTGGGTGGGTTCAGTGGGGCTGGTCGATTCAAGAGTTCTTTGAAGTGTTCTACCCACCTGTTTCGTTGTTCTTCAATGTTGGTGATTATCTTGCCTTCCTTGCTTTTCACTGGTCGTTCTGGTTTACGGTGATTTCCGGAGAGTTTCTTTGTTGTTTCATACAGTTTTCTCATGTTTCCTTCTCTGGCAGCCTTTTCCGCCGTCATTGCCAAATCTTCCACATATTTACGTTTGTCGGTTCTGATGCTCCTTTTCACTTGCTTGTTTACTTCTGTGTATTCAGCTTGTGCCTTGACTTTTTCTGCTCTTGTTCGACTGGTATTGATTGCTACTTTCTTGTTCCTCCTTTCTTGAATCTTATCCAGTGTATCGACCGTGATCCAATCCTTGTGATGGTGCTTCTTTTGGCCCAGAACCTCATGACATGTTGAAGTGATTGCCTCTTTTATCTCTTTCCAGTTGCTCTCCATAGTAGTTCCTTCTCCATTGAGTAGATCATGAAAGGCTTGGAACTTATTGCTGAGGGTTATCTTGAATTTATTGAGTTTGTCATTATCCCGAAGAAGAGCCGTATTAAATTTTTGTGATATTGTCCTCCCCGTTGTCCAGTGCCTCTTGAGTTTCAATTTCATCTTGGCGACCAGCAAGTGATGATCTGATGCTATATCAGCTCCTCTCTTTGTTCTCACGTCCTCCATCGTCCTCCTGAACTTTTTGTTGATGCAGATATGGTCGATTTGGTTCTGTGTGCTGTGATCCGGTGAAGTCCATATATATATATATATATATATATATATATATATATATATATATATATATATATATCACATAATTATCAATAGAAGTTTGTGGAGATTATTGAAGGTTATTGATAGCACGAACCGACCTAAGTTAGATATCAACTGAAAAGCAGAAAGCACTGGACAGTTGCTTTGTCCTAATATAGGATTACTCAGCAGTGAACAACTGCACCTCTGTCACAGGGAACCGGACACAGAACCTTTTGTCTTGCGTGCGGACGCGAGCAGGGTGTAAGTTAGTTACCTACCTAAAACAATGGAAGATGGTTGAGAAATATCGTGAATTGACCGATGTTGGATAAATATACCATTAGATTCGGGCACAGTGGTTTAAAAGTTAAGCGTTCGCATGAGAGACAGTAGATTCTGGGTTCAATCCCTTACAGTGAGATCGAGTATGTCACATACCAGGTTAAAGGATCCGTTCAGTACTTCCTGCTTTTTCATGGATCTCTAATTTATGTTGATTGATGATATTAGTAACATATCACATAGTTCTGACAAACATTATCTCGCTGACTTATCTACGTTTCTCGCAATGATCAGTTGTTACAGATTTAATCATAAGTAAATTGGAAGTATTGCGATGACAACACATTCAATGATCAGTGATGTGATTGGATATGCTGACAGTAGCATAGATCAAAATAGTACATTGATTAGCTGGATTTTACAGTCAATCATGTTCATAAGCAAAAGAAGACTAACAGTTACTTATCTAAGAAGTGTTGTAAAAGCTGTAAGTGTGATAGCTCGAATCTGAAAGATGGGAGAAAAAAATCTTCAACATAAGTTTAACTCAATCAAACATGAAATTAAGAATGGCATCCCATTATTTGTCTGGCTTTGTCAATTGAATGTATATACGACCACCATGTATTTATCATTCATATATTACTGATACCCCTGTATAGAAAAAGTTATTCGAACCAATAAAACACTGAATTAGGTTTTCTATTTACATGCTAATCTGTCTATCATTATCAATATAAAATGTATATTAGCACGAAAGGGTTTGTGGACATTGTTGAGTTTTATAGCTAGTATCATGAAATGACTTCGGTTAAACAACTACTTAAAATCAATAAGCGCCGGATGACTGTTTCGTCTTAACACAGGACTCATTATCAATGCACATATACAACACCACAGAGGAGCCAACTCATGACCTTCAGGCCTCTTTACGAGCCCTAAGCATCTACACCACTGAGTTGGCATTCTGCCTTACACTCATATGGCTGAACTCAATTAGTTACAACAGCTACACCAGACGATAATTGTGAAATACTGCAAATCGAATGAAGTTAGAAGTGTAAACCATTGGATACTAAAATTGGTTTAATAGTTAACAGGTTTAAGTAAATAGGTTAAGTGATTACCACGAGATCAGGAAGTCCTGGATTCGATCCCCTTCAGTAAGACTTTGGGTGCTGAGCCACCCTATAGTAGAATAAAATAGATGTTTAATGCTTTTAAGTTTTCAACGGTTAGTTGACTATAGTTGTACCGTGATACAAACGATAAATAAACAATGAAATTTACTCTCAAAAGTTTATTGATAATAAACATTACTACTGATGAATTTATGTTAACATACTGAATTTATATTACGTTGAATCTGGAACGTTTTAATTAGCTCCGTTACAACAACTTCGTGTTGACCTTCATTTGACAATTGAATCAGGTGATCGAAAGACGAAACATCTTTTAACTTTATTAACAAATGATTCATATAATCTATAGGAATAGAAAATATGTATATTTTAGATACATGGTATGTAACAACAATATGCTGAAAAAAATATCCTAGAATAGTTAGCTAATCAGTCAGTCAGTCAGTCAAAAATAATGCAGAATGTGGGAATCGATAAAAAAGCAATGTTCTACAGCTTTCCATAATTCAATGATCATTCAGCTGATAACAATTTGTTAGCAGTACATCCTGGAAAGCAATCAGCAGAGAAGAATGATATTTTTTAAATGGATATAAATAAGCATGATCAGCATTCTACTATGTAGACTGACTTGTTGACAATAAGTTGAATAAAATATACATTTATTACAACAAATTTTTCACAGTTATAAACCCGTATTTCATCATAGAACTTTCGACAAATTTAAGTGCTACATGGAATTCGATTCCTTTACCAAACTACTAAATCCTGTAGTGAATGATTTGTCAAATGATAAACATGCAGATTTTAATAGAGATTCTACAAAAGTCCTACAGTACGGCATGGTCTCATTGGCTACGAGTTGACCAAACAAAAATAGAGTTACACTTGGATTACACAAAATAAATGAGTGACTTAATGAAGAAACCAAATTAAGGAATTACAGAACAATTTAAAGGTGAATAATATTTTTATCTTCATAAATCCTATGAATAGTTGTAAACGAACAAGCTACGGGTTTTAAATTATATCTGATCGAAAGACAATTATTGAAAAAGGTACTTTAAATAGAAATAAACAGACAAAACGCCGTAAAAACATTTGTCATATTTCGACGCAACATTAATAACTTCAGAATAAAAGAAAACTTTTCATCATTGAAATTTAACTTGAAATAATTGGTTGTCCCATTGTTGACATTTCAACTGAATTTTGATCAGTTTTAGTTTATATATGTCAATCCTGTGTGGAATACCGTTATGATGCCAGTTTACATAGGATATATGGAATGTGGTTACTTGTGGAACCCAAGATGCACGTTTCATACTATCTAGGGCTCACCAGGTGGATGTACCAGCATACCAGTGTTGATTTTCATACCACAACTCAAACCCAGTACCGTTCGCTTAAAACGCCATCACGTCATCCACTTGGCTACTGAGACCAAGCGGCCAATCACTTGTGCAGTGGGTATGACTTTTAACTTAGTTTGTAATGATTCGGATTATCGCAATTGAAATTCGACCAGTCTTAGTCCCGAATAGGACGAAACCTCCATCCTGAATCCCCCTGCTAGTCACATTTTATCTATTCCATAAAAACTGTCACCATAATGGTTAAATTATGCAATGAATAATAACCAATATCTTCAACAAAAAAGAAGTGGAGGTTACAATAAACACTAAAAATCAACAACACTACAAAACTACACAATAATGCAAATGTCATCTCATCATTAAAATAGAATAATATTATACAACTGAATAGAAAACTTACCAACTGTTAAGTCACCATGATGTACGCTATATGATCTAACGACAACAAGTTTGTGTTCTATAATCAGCTTCTTTAGCTAAAGAAACAATACGGTAGTATGAATAAATAAGCGTGTTATATAGATCAAAATACAATGAGACACTTTATTGACGACTAATAAATTGTTATTATTACAGGAATTTTCGGTGGCAATTGAATGACTAGATGAGCTCTGAATAGTTTTTATACATATAACTCATAAATTTTTATATTTGAATTCATGAACCGATCTAAGTTAGACCACCAGTGGAAACCTGGAGGCAGTGGACGACTGTTTCATCCTAGTATGGTACTCCTCGGCAGTGCACCCAGTGGTTTAGAGGTTAAGCGTTCACGTACGAAACCGGAGCTCCCGGGTTTAAGTCATGTGTGAGAGGTCGTGGATGTGCACTGCTGAGGAGTCCCATAATAGGACAAAACGGTCGTTTAGTGCTTCCAGTTTTTCAATGGAGGTCTATCTTAGATCGACTCATGAATTCAACCACTAAAAATTACTATAATCTCCACAAATCCACATTCTGATAGTAAATTTACAATAATAACCAGATTATGTAAGTGTCCATTACCCAACTCAAAAGTGAAACAATAAAAAAGAAACCAGAACAAATTGATGGTAAAGGTGAACAAAATTTATTCTCGTCATATGCATTAATGAGTAAAAACTGATAAAAGCGTGGTTTAACACAGATAACTATTGACGCAAAGACTAAATGCTTAACGACTTTATAGATTGTTCTCAGTTGATCAATGATCATTCCGAACTATTCGAACGAACATCACACATTTTAAAGGCGGTAGGAAGTAAACTGATTAGTCATCCGGTCAACATATTGATGCATAGCATTATTGATTTATTTTACATGTCAGTTCGAAGCTGCTTGTAACGCATACACTTAAATCAATGTGGCTTGACCGGATAATACTAATAAACCTATAATTGAACAGATGTGGTATCCATTTAAAGTCGTTTCTTATGCAACACACTGCCACAAAAATTCGAAACATTAATATAAACCCTCTCTCTCTCTAATCACCTATAAATATCCCATTGAAAAACATTGATACATGTATCATTGATATTTTGATCAATAAAAAGTAATGGGCACAAAACACAATCGATATTACAGATGATCAAAAGTAAAATGTTTTTACAGACAAATTTAAAGAACACAACTTACAGCGAGTACACACTCTTTCATTTCTGCATAATCACGACGTTGTGAACTCATTAAATAATGCATCCATAACACTACAATGATACAAACAAAAACACCGGAAGGGGGAGTGGTAAGATCTATAATTCTAGTTACAACAATTTAATCTAACATAGAATTATGAAATAATATCTGCATTTTTTATCATAAATGAGCCAGGCAGATAAATATGTTTTATGAAAATGATTATCATCATCTTTGTAAGAATATCGACAGATCAAATTATAACATTTGAACATCAACAGACTGTGGAAATGAATGATACATAGACATTAAATTTTAGCCAGATTCTTATTTATTCATTTATTTATTTAAACACATAAACATTGGTACAAGGAGGCACCACACTTCATCATCCGATTTATGTGAGGGATGGAATACTGTCCGTGAGCCCAAACCGAAACAGGTGGGTAGTTTCCTTAGGGGGCCACTCATCGAGCCTTCGACCCAGATGTTTAATTCAAAAGACAGTGGATCAACGTTAGGAGATACAATCCCATGGTATTCGGTGACAAACAATAGATTCATAAGCCATTTGCTCCATCAGGATAGTGGAGCCCATGTGCACAGTTTTTTTTTGGAATCAGGGTTTTCCAACTCTATGAGGTGGATTCTCCATATTCACTAAACCGGTTAGAGCGTCGGACATTTGATTTTCGTCATCCCAATTTCGTAAACAAGGGTGCTGTCGTCAAAAGGCAGTGAGTAGAACTTCTCTGTCAGTGAGTGTATACGCGTGTCCATGTCAGAGCGTTTCGAGAAAGAGAGCGTACTCTCCCCACCCTCGACTGTACCAGGGCATTTGAGTGCCAGATTCACTGATTCATTAATGATATTTTGATATAACTGGCAACCATTATAGTTATTTGTAACAATTAAATACGCTTCTTTAACATGACAAATAAATTCAGACAGAGTAATACATGATTATGCAGTATTTGTTATTCGGTACTAAAAGATTATTAAGACGGTGACAACTAAATAAACGATAAACAATGTGTACATGATGCTGAAAATTTAATACGTTGAAAACTTTTATTAGATGTTTTGGAAGACGATTTCATTAATTTCTTCGATACCGCTATCGAAAATTTGAAAAATAACCAATATATTTCAGTGGATTTCTCGACAGTAACGGTACTAATGAACAGCTCTTACTTTAGCTATATCCATCAATGCTGGTGAACTTGATTTACTATGTCAAATAAAGTCAACATAATACTACCAACAATATCACTTATCTTAAATTCATCTGCGAACCATGAAAAAAGTGAGTCTAGTTTAGTAGATTTTCCCTGCTAGTAATTTTAACATCTGAAAACATAACTGCTATGTTTCTCTTCATCATCATTCACAATTGTTTCTTGTCTACTAACAAACTGGATGAATATCTTCATAACAAACCTGAAGTCTATAAATGATGCGTATAATAACGCTTTCATCAAAATCATCCATAAAACGATCAATAACATCATTTTCGATTTCAAGTATACTTTGAGATCCTATAAAAAGCTATATCGAAGCTGATGACCTCGTCCCTATACTATACATTTCTCTTAATGTATACCAAAATGAGGCTAGGTAGAAGAACAAGTGATTAACCACTGAATGTGTACAGACAAACGATTAGCTTACTTAGTATTGATTTTGTGATTTCTATCCTATTTTTGACTTCTACTCTTGATTTACTGAGTATAGACTGTTAATAATTGTGTTAAATAAAGTATTTTTAGTCTATTCTCTAGTTCTCTATATTCGGTTGTGAGTTATGTCTGGTATAACGTAATCTCAGTCTGTGTACAGTCTCTATAGACCAATTATCCAGTCCAGTAGTAGTGAAATCTCGATCACCGGTCACTTTATCATACAAGAATAGTATATCATGGCACAAACAAAATAATTTTATCTTGACGTAATTCATTGAATTTAACTATGATCGTAAAGTTGCAGTTGTCCTGAAATTTAATCTTCAGCAAATAAGTTTTGCGGAAATTAAACAGCCAGAAAACCATTTGCTCGCTAGTTATTTTGCTATTTTTATAAGTTTGAATTTCCATTATTTCGATCGTATACTCGTTATGGAACCCATCTTTGATTTTCGTCCCGAGTAAAGACGCTAATTTCTCATTGATCCACGTATCATTTAATATGGTAAACTTTTATCCTACGTTGAAAGCCTTCGAAAATAAATTTATTTACATTTCTCGCCTTCACGAATCAATCTTTTCTGATACCTGGCAATAAACGTATCTTGTAAATATCTATTAGATTGCCTGGGGTGAAGAAATAAAGAGGGGAATAATAGTCGTATCTGGCCGTCGGAATCGAAGCTTGAAGTTACTGGCATCTAGCTAAACATTCATCAATATTAATCAAACAAAGGTTTAATGCGCTGGTACGGCCGATAGTGGGGTGGGTTCGCCCTCCCTCTCGAAATACTCTCTCACGGTCACGCATAAACGGCCTCTGCCAGGGAAGTCCTACTTACTGTCTTCTCGTGGCGGGGGTGTTGTTTACAAAAATGAGAGGACACATCGGCACATGGGCTCCAGTGTCCTAAAACGGCAAATGGCGTATGAACCAATTTTTGGTCACCGGCTACCATGGGAGTGCATCTCCTTACGATGCTCCACTGCCTTGTGGGTTAGACCTTTAGGTCAAAGGCTCGAGGTGTGGCCCACTAAGAAAACCACCTGCTTCGGTCTGGGCACCCGGGAAGTAGCTCAGCCTACACACAAATCTAATCATGATGAAAATGATGATATTCACTGAAAACCCCATTCTCGTTGCGATTAACATTATTATTATTATTATTATTATTATTATTATTATTATTATTATTATTATTATTATTATTTACTACGTCATTTATTCACCCTCTTTTATTTCCACTCTGTCTATCCTTATTTTTCGACTTATACAGCAGCTCGCCTATGATGGGAATTCGGCTCTATCTAAACGTTCTCGAGTCACTGCCTGGTTGAAAATTGTATGTTACCACCGAATACGAGTAGTGAAGCAGTTTTTCTGAAACCACGTGCACCATTTAAACTAGCTGCCTTCAACATTCGCACACTTATGCAGGTCGGACAACAGATAGGGCTGGTTATGTCTTTGGAAAGTCTTAATATTGACGTTTGTTGTCTATCCGATACCCGTATTCAAGACTCTGGTGAAGTACTACAAGTTCGCTCTCTATCTGTCGTTTCAAAAAGCTTGTTTCACGTGCGTTTATCCGGGGACCCTGTGGCATCTTCGTCTGGTCTTGCTGGCGTTAGTGTCTCACTAAGCGCTAGAGCCGAGGCAGCACTAATCGATTGGATCCCGATTAACAGTCGGTTATGTGCTGTTAGATTAGAAATTTCCAACAAAGTGAGAGGAAATCGGTGTGAGAAACGATGTCTTTTTGTCATATCCGCAATATGCCCCGACAGATTGCAGCCAGAATGCAATCAAGGATGAATTCTACCACCAGTTAACTGTTCTTCTCCAGAAAGTGTGTTCGACAGATATTATAGTACTAGCCGAAGACTTCAATGCTTGGGTCGGGCGTCTAGGCACAGAAGAGAATCGTTTAAGTGGCCGATGGGGACTTGTTGGTCGCAGGACAGATAACGGGGAACGTCTACTACAACTGTGCACAGACCACAACCTGTTTCTGGCTAGCAATAACTTTCGGCACAGTCATCGCCGATGTGCCACCTGGCGTCCCCCTTCTGCATCTCAAGCCTGGACTCAGATTGATCACATCGCGATCAGCCACCGTTGGCGTGGTTGTGTACAAGACTGCCGCTCCTTTTGGAGTACCTATATGGAATCTGATCATGCTCTGGTCTGCGCCAATCTTACCTTACTTTTCAGTGGACAACGAAGTGACCGCCACCAAAGGATTGATGTTAGCAAGCTGGTTGCAACTTCTGTTGCTAGTAAGTACCGAACCGAGCTAGCTTCTAGGCTAGCTACCATTCCACCGAAAAGTATAGATGAGCATTGGTTGCAATTTCATGACGCCATCAAAATAGCGAATAAAGCCGCTTGCGGCTTCGTGAGACACCCCGCTTATAAGCACTGGGTTTCTTCTGGTTCCTTACAAGTCCGAGTGACCGTGAGTTTGACCACAAACGAAGGATGCTACGTACTGAAACTGGGCAAAGCTTGCGTAAGGACCGAGAAGCCTGGTGGTCGGAGCGTGCTAGTGAGCTGGAAGCAGCAGCTGCATCTGGTAACTGCCGGAAACTCTTCCAACTCATCCGAGCCACTGGCAGCAAGAAGTCTGGTGTGAGCGAAACAATCTGCGAGGATGACGGAACGCCAATCACTAACATCCATCGACGTCTTGGACGATGGGCAGAATTTTCCGAAGGGCAGTTCAGTTCAACTGGCCAGCTGCTCCGGCAACATCGGTCAGACTGTCCTGCCCTCCACGGCCGGTGACGACTGATCCACCAAATGAGACGGAATTCCGCAAGGAACTCCAACTCTTGAAACGCTACAAATCACCGGGCCCAGATGACTTACCTCCGGCTCTTTTTAAAGATGGTGGTGACTCTCTGACTAAGGAACTGACGACGTTGTTTACGAAGGTCTGGGAACTAGAGAGTGTACCAACGTCATGGAATGAGTCGATAGTTGCCTCGCCAGGAGCAGGCTGGGTTTCGTTCTGGTCGAGGATGTATTGATCATATCTTCACTCTCCACCAAATGTTAGAACACCGTCATACTTATCAAAGGCCAACAATCGTAGTGTTTCTTGATATCAGGGCTGCCTTCGATTCGTTGGATAGGACTTTGCTCTGGGATTGTCTATTGAAGAAGGGTGTGCCTGAGAAGTTTATTAACAGCCTAAAAGCCCTATATACAAACACCTCAGGTAGAGTGAGGGCATACAACCACCTTTCTCCATTATTCCATTCGAGCAGTGGGGTTAGACAGGGTTGCCCAATCACACCATTCCTCTTCAACTTTGTCATCGATGACATTCTGGAAACAGCTCTGATGGATGTAAGTAATGGTGGTGTGGATATGTTGCCTGGAGAAAGACTTCTCGACCTTGAGTATGTGGATGATATTGTCTTACTGTGCGAGAATGCCCAAACCATGCAATCCGCACTTAATCAGTTGGCAATCAATGTCCGTAGGTATGGTATGTGCTTTACACCCTCGAAGTGCAAAGTACTTCTACAAGACTGGCAGGATTCTGATCTTGTACTCACTCTGGATGGTAAGCAGATAGAAGTAGTCGAGAAGTTCGTGTATCTGGGTAGCTGCATAAGTGCTGGTGGTGGCGTGAGTGATGAGATCAATGCACGTATAGTGAAAGCCAGAGCGGCTTATGGCGATCTGGGCCATCTTTGGCGTCTTCGTGATGCTAGTCTGGCTGTAAGAGGTCGGATCTACAACGCGTTGGTGAGAGCAGTTTTGCTCTATCATCTTGAAACACCGACATTGGTGGCTTGGACATGTTCTACGAATGTCGTCCCAAAGAATCCCACGTCGTGCATTATTTGCCGACTATTGGACTGGTTTGGAAAAGCGGAGAGGTGGTCAGTGTATGACATGGTGTCGTGGTATGAAAGAAAGCTGCAAAGTACTGGCTTGTGTTGGTCCTTCACGACTCCCTGGCTGGGGTCCGAGAGATGGTGTAAGACAGTGGCTAGAAGCGTTATCAGATACGACTCAGAATAGAAGCCAGTGGCGATCCTGCTGTAGACTACTTTTAATTTCTTCGTAAAAAGTGGTTGCTTCTTCCTTAACTGTAAGATTTCTTCTGATTATAACTTTCCGTTTCCCCCATTATTACTACTATTACACTACTATGCACTAATCTGGTCGTTATTGTTCTCTCTTTTTTTTAATTTTTCCCTACGCTCCTTACATTTTTTCCCTTCTCTTTAAATTCTCATTGTTTTTTGTGGTGCATATATATTTGGTGCCCTCTTGTACCAATATTTAGTCAAATCCAATATTTATCTGTTCAAATAAATGATCATAAATAAACAAACACTTACAATGACTCATAACAATAGGATAATTTGATGACGTTTCTTCAATTCCTGTGAGTACATCGTTTAACACAGAAAATACTGGTGTTGGTATTTCAGTCGGTCTCGAAATTCTTGAAATTGTAAAAATATAATAATGATGATAGCGAAATTATTTTTCCTGGTTAAAATCACTCAAACGAACAATAAAATTAATGCAGCATAGGAAAATAAGCCAAAATAAGGCAGACAGATATGGAGAAGAAGAATTTTTAAATAAAATAGTACAGGAAGATAGGATTATGATTATCGAAAACTGACTACCATTTGTTTGGGCATTAAGGACTTTAAAATAATGTACACTAATTAGTCTGTTACTGGAAACGAAGGAGGACTAAATGTTCATTTGAAAATTCTCACTCACTTGTTTAACGGGTGTTAAATTTCAATACTAACTATTTAATTATAAAATACCATCACAAAAGAGATAAACAATACACTTTGATCTTGACAAAAATAGAACCTACTATATTTATTTATAAAAGATTTAGACATAATAGATACAGATGAAGAATAATTCAGTACAATGAAAAGTTAATTGCAACTGTGATAACTTAGAAGTACAGTGTAGATGTTAAATTAAGTGAAAATAAAAATGGCCTGTAAAAGTCACTTGTTAGGGATTAAAAGATCTAACGTAATCCGAAAGTACTCTTCAGTGAAAAAATGACATACTTTGAAAAAAATAAATAAAACCAGAAGGCACTGAACATCTCCATCATCCTAGTTTAGAACTCTTTAGCAAAGTACCCTCATTACCTTACAAGAAATCGAACCCAGAACCTTTAGATCTCGTGGCGGATGTATCACGTGTCCAGTAATTAGCTGGTATCTAGTGGTAGAAGTTACTATTTTATTACTAGTAACAGACTTCAAGAATAATTCCTGAAGTTCTGATGTGTACGTGAGTGGTGGCGTTGAGTTGCATGAGCACTGAGACAATCACCATTGGTAGATGATAGACTTCAAAAGGTGCCTAGCTTAAAGCAATCTGCGATGTGATTTATCGTCAAACTGAACAATTTCCACAAACCTATTCCTAAACACCAATTCTTTTGAAATTTCGTAACAACCAACATTCAGCTGTTACGTCGAATACAAATTTTTAAGCTAGTAACATCTTTTTACATTCACAAATAAAAAATGGGAAAAATCGAAACCACTGATTGATGTCTAAGCTTACTTTTCTTTTGACTTCGTTGAATTATGACTGGTAGATTCTAATTCTTCTAAATATAATTCTACATATATAATGTAGAAAAATGCCAAGTGATATAATTCTGGAGCTACTTTTAAAGCTAAAACATCCTCAGGTAGCAAACAGGTTTCTGATCGTGTTTTATCTTGATGAATAACAGCTTCCAGTAGCTGTGATGATGATGACAATGATGAGGAAGGTGGAGTTGTTAATAAATAAGGAAAAGATGGTTGTAAACGGTCAAATAAATATAGATACGCAGTTGCGAATTCTAACGACCTATAAAGAAGCCAAGAAAAAGAAATACGTAATTGGTGACTTATATGAATTTTATGACAATTAAAATCACAGAATCACTGCATGTTATAAGTTGTGCTGAAAATAATACGGGTCAGTTGTTGATGCTAATACATATAAGAATGTAAAGTGGTCAGTAGATAACTGAGAAGTAAGCATATAACCACATTTTAAAAATACTCAATCACACGTAAAATGTAAAGAAATAATTACTCTTGCTGTCTTGAGGAAAGCCAAACAAGTATTCCTTACATATTATTTACATGATATTGGAATAGATAATAAAATAACTCATTAAGGAGGATTAAAAATCCTAACCAATCAATATGAAAAAGTTTCCAAAAATGGATTTATAATTTTAAAATCAGGACTAAATTGAGCACTAAAAGTTACTTATGACATTATCCCGACTAACAACAATAACATGATACTTAGACTGAGTGCATTACACAGAAAAAAATTTGAATGGTGAATTGATAGTCTACTAGTTATCAATAGGATCCAGCTGTCAGCCAAATCTTTTTTCGACCTCAGTACTGACAACTGTACACTAACTTAATTTCAAGGAGTAGATTCACGTAATCGGCTTTGAGCCATACTCTAAGTGAGAGGACCAGAGATACTACCCAGTCGAGCGACAAAAATAAATAGATAAGGGTTTGAACCTGTGACTTAATGGTTGGAATCTCAACGCCATAACCACTGACCCACTTCTGCACACTGTATACTAACGAGGTCAACTTTTAAAAAAACTAACTCACATGTTTCAATTTTTGAATAAAAATGGTAATTACAATGAACAATCCAATGTGTATAAAATAATTGGTAACAAATAACGAAATGAAAAAACTGTTTACCAGCGGTATCCGGAAAGGCGACTAGTTTGTAAAAGCAATGATATACCAAATGTAATAATATTTGGTTTCATGTCATTCAAAAGAACCAGGAACTCATGAATCGACTTTTGACTCCACATATTCGAAAAAGTTGATGTCACTAAAGTAGGAAAATAATTAACAGAAATTTAGGTCAATTTTGGATTTACAAAAGCTGCAAATAACTAAATAGTCTATTCATACGTCAAAACCACTATGCCAGACATCACACGTCCTATTATACTGAAACTTTATAGCAGTAGTATACAACCATAATTCTTTAAAGAGTAGACACAGAACCAGAAAGAATAGTATTTATATATTCGATTTTACTAAAAAATCAATGCCTTACTATGAATTTACGGATGGTTTTATAAACATTTTTGAAACTGTTAAAAACTTGGTTAGAATCATTCAGATAAAATTCACCAAATTAACAGATTATCATCCTATATAGAGTTGTTAAATTTCGCTGTAATCTTAAGTAAACAAAAATGTTAATACTAAAATCTGTGATTTGTATGATACTGTTACGGGCGTTAATAATATGATCATAGAAAGTATGTGATAAATACTAATAACCGATAACAACAGTTTGAAAGTACTTCAAACAAGTAACCGTATCTCCTAATCAGATTAACAGAATGATATAATCAAATGAAATCTAACTACATGAATTCATGAAGCTTGATATGTGAAAACAGTTTGGATACACATCTTTTGAAATTGCTTGAACACTGGGAATTTTTATGTTAAAAATATGTGATTTCCAGCTACATGAGTTCATCAGTGATATAATTAATAATAATAATAATAATAATAATAATAATAATAATAATAATAAAATAATAATGATAACTTTTAAACACGACTTTCCTTGAAACATCGTAACATTCAGAATACATTGTACGTTCTAAAGCATTCTCATTTACTATTATTGTTTTTTTTATTTGAACAGATAAATATTGGTACAAGAGGGCACCAAATATATATGCACCACAAAAAACAATGAGAATTTAAAGAGAAGGGAAAAAATGTAAGGAGCGTAGGGAAAAATTAAAAAAAAGAGAGAACAATAACGACCAGATTAGTGCATAGTAGTGTAATAGTAGTAATAATGGGGGAAACGGAAAGTTATAATCAGAAGAAATCTTACAGTTAAGGAAGAAGCAACCACTTTTTACGAAGAAATTAAAAGTAGTCTACAGCAGGATCGCCACTGGCTTCTATTCTGAGTCATATCTGATAACGCTTCTAGCCACTGTCTTACACCATCTCTCGGACCCCAGCCAGGGAGTCGTGAAAGACCAACACAAGCCAGTACTTTGCAGCTTTCTTTCATACCACGACACCATGTCATACACTGACCACCTCTCCGCTTTTCCAAACCAGTCCAATAGTCGGCAAATAATGCACGACGTGGGATTCTTTGGGACGACATTCGTAGAACATGTCCAAGCCACCAATGTCGGTGTTTCAAGATGATAGAGCAAAACTGCTCTCACCAACGCGTTGTAGATCCGACCTCTTACAGCCAGACTAGCATCACGAAGACGCCAAAGATGGCCCAGATCGCCATAAGCCGCTCTGGCTTTCACTATACGTGCATTGATCTCATCACTCACGCCACCACCAGCACTTATGCAGCTACCCAGATACACGAACTTCTCGACTACTTCTATCTGCTTACCATCCAGAGTGAGTACAAGATCAGAATCCTGCCAGTCTTGTAGAAGTACTTTGCACTTCGAGGGTGTAAAGCACATACCATACCTACGGACATTGATTGCCAACTGATTAAGTGCGGATTGCATGGTTTGGGCATTCTCGCACAGTAAGACAATATCATCCACATACTCAAGGTCGAGAAGTCTTTCTCCAGGCAACATATCCACACCACCATTACTTACATCCATCAGAGCTGTTTCCAGAATGTCATCGATGACAAAGTTGAAGAGGAATGGTGTGATTGGGCAACCCTGTCTAACCCCACTGCTCGAATGGAATAATGGAGAAAGGTGGTTGTATGCCCTCACTCTACCTGAGGTGTTTGTATATAGGGCTTTTAGGCTGTTAATAAACTTCTCAGGCACACCCTTCTTCAATAGACAATCCCAGAGCAAAGTCCTATCCAACGAATCGAAGGCAGCCCTGATATCAAGAAACACTACGATTGTTGGCCTTTGATAAGTATGACGGTGTTCTAACATTTGGTGGAGAGTGAAGATATGATCAATACATCCTCGACCAGAACGAAACCCAGCCTGCTCCTCGCGAGTCAATCCTTCTCGGGTTCTGAACAACCTACGAAATATGAGGGAAGCCAATAGCTTGGACGCAATCGGAAGTTGACTTATCCCCCGATAGTTGTTACAGGAACAACGTGAACCCTTTTTAAAGATAGGGACAACTATCGACTCATTCCATGACGTTGGTACACTCTCTAGTTCCCAGACCTTCGTAAACAACGTCGTCAGTCCCTTAGTCAGAAAGTCACCACCATCTTTAAAAAGAGCCGGAGGTAAGTCATCTGGGCCCGGTGATTTGTAGCGTTTCAAGAGTTGGAGTTCCTTGCGGAATTCCGTCTCATTTGGTGGATCAGTCGTCACCGGCCGTGGAGGGCAGGACAGTCTGACCGATGTTGCCGGAGCAGCTGGCCAGTTGAACTGAACTGCCCTTCGGAAAATTCTGCCCATCGTCCAAGACGTCGATGGATGTTAGTGATTGGCGTTCCGTCATCCTCGCAGATTGTTTCGCTCACACCAGACTTCTTGCTGCCAGTGGCTCGGATGAGTTGGAAGAGTTTCCGGCAGTTACCAGATGCAGCTGCTGCTTCCAGCTCACTAGCACGCTCCGACCACCAGGCTTCTCGGTCCTTACGCAAGCTTTGCCCAGTTTCAGTACGTAGCATCCTTCGTTTGTGGTCAAACTCACGGTCACTCGGACTTGTAAGGAACCCCGTAATCTGTCCTGCGACCAACAAGTCCCCATCGGCCACTTAAACGACTCTCCTCTGTGCCTAGATGCCCGACCCAAGCATTGAAGTCTTCGGCTATTACTACAATATCTGTCAAACGCACTTTCTGGAGAAGAACAGTTAACTGGTGGTAGAATTCATCCTTGATTGCATTCTGGCTGCAATCTGTCGGGGCATATTGCGGATATGACAAAAAGACATCGTTTCTCACACCGATTTCCTCTCACTTTGTTGGAAATTTCTAATCTAACAGCACATAACCGACTGTTAATCGGGATCCAATCGATTAGTGCTGCCTCGGCTCTTGCGCTTAGTGAGACACTAACGCCAGCAAGACCAGACGAAGATGCCACAGGGTCCCCGGATAAACGCACGTGAAACAAGCTTTTTGAAACGACAGATAGAGAGCGAACTTGTAGTACTTCACCAGAGTCTTGAATACGGGTATCGGATAGACAACAAACGTCAATATTAAGACTTTCCAAAGACATAACCAGCCCTATCTGTTGTCCGACCTGCATAAGTGTGCGAATGTTGAAGGCAGCTAGTTTAAATGGTGCACGTGGTTTCAGAAAAACTGCTTCACTACTCGTATTCGGTGGTAACATACAATTTTCAACCAGGCAGTGACTCGAGAACGTTTAGATAGAGCCGAATTCCCATCATAGGCGAGCTGCTGTATAAGTCGAAAAATAAGGATAGACAGAGTGGAAATAAAAGAGGGTGAATAAATGACGTAGTAAATAATAATAATAATAATAATAATAATAATAATAATAATAATAATAATAATAATAATAATAATGTGAATTGTTTGACAGTAAATCGCAACGAGAATGGGGTTTTCAGTGAATATCATCATTTTCATCATGATTAGATTTGTGTGTAGGCTGAGCTACTTCCCGGGTGGTGGAGAAGATTTGTAGCTCAGGTGGATGATTTTGATGGAGTTTTGTTCTCTGAGCTGGATGGTTTGGTCGTGGAGCTTTCATCGCTCTTCTGAACGACATCATCAGCACAAACTTCAGATAGAAGTGAAGTGTTCGAATTTCTCCATGAGTTTCACAGCTTGTTCTGTAAACCTCGATGTTGATTGGTTATTATTGATCTTAAATTTGTCATTGCTTACTTTTTTGTTTTGGTTTTGTCTCCTATTGGTTTGATTCTTGTTCCTATATTTGTGCATAAGTTTCCTGATTGGTTGATAAATCGGATCGATTTCAATATGTTTGTTGATTGCTGATTGACCTAAGTGCCAGGCTTCTAAAAATTCTCTTGTGTTTTTAGAATTTCCTCTGTCCACGATTTCCACATTTTTCCAATCGAATGTGTGTCCGCAGTTGTCCACGTGTATTGATATAAGTGAGGAGATATCATGCCGTTTGACTGCTAATTGATGTTCATGTAAGCGCATGTGAAGGGGGCGTCCGCTTTGTCCAATGTAGTGTTTGTCGCAGTTGACACAATTTATTTTGTAGATGATGTTCGATTTATCTTCTTTTGTTATTTCATCCTTTGGTTTGCATAGGATTGACTGTATTGATTTTGTCGGTTTGTGTGCCACACCTATCCCGAAGGTTTTTAGCAGTCTTGTTGCGGTTTCTGATATGCCATGTATGTATGGTAGGGTGATCCGTTTGTTGATTTTTGTGCTTGATTTGTGCTCTGATGCTGCATGTAGTTGATATTTTTTGTGCTGATGTCGTTCAGAAGAACGATGGAAGCTCCACGACCAAACCATCCAGCTCAGAGAACAAAACTCCATCAAAATACTTCCCGGGTGCCCAGACCGAAGCAGGTGGTTTTCTTAGGGGGCCACACCTCGAGCCTTTGACCTAAAGGTCTAACCCACAAGGCAGTGGAGCATCGTAAGGAGATGCACTCCCATGGTAGCCGGTGACCAAAAATTGGTTCATACGCCATTTGCCGTTTCAGGACACTGGAGCCCACGTGCACCATTGATTTGGGATCCGGTTATAGAGCCGGACGTTCGCTTTTCGTCCTCTCATTTTTGTAAACAACACCCCCGCCACGAGAAGACAGTGAGTAGGACTTCCCTGGCAGAGGCCGTTTACGCGTGACCGTGAGAGAGTATTTCGAGAGGGAGGGCGAACCCACCCCACTATCGGCCATACCAGGGCATTCGAGGGTTTAGTGGTATAACGGTTAGGCGCTCGCGCGCAAGACTGATAGGTCCTGGGCTCGAATCCCACGAGGTGGGATCGTGGATGCGCACTATTTTATTTATTTATTTGAACACATAAATATTGGTACAGGGGGCACCAAATATATATGCGCACTGCTAGGACTCAGTAGCTAATTGGATAACGCGATGGCGTTTGATGCGGACAGTACTGTGTTCGAGTCCCAGGGTGAACATCAACTTTGAGATGCAGGTACATCCAGCTGACAAGTCTCAAATAGGACGAAACGCGCTAGCCACTATCTATCTCACTTACTAAATGATTTATTAGTAATATTTATTAATGACCTACTTCTGAATTAACTTAAGTGTATCATTGTTAAGATAGCTGAACGTTGAAAAATATAATTTATCCATAAAACTACTTGTATTTCGCTAATTCATTTTATATTGGTTGTTTGAATCTCCCCAATGATGTTTAGGACTGTAATTGATCATTACTGGGTTTGAGTCCCGCGGCGAACATCAACTCTGAGATGCATATGCATCTAGTTGATGAGTCCCAAATAGGACGAAACGTGCGTCCCGGATTTAACTGCCAGCCATCATCCATCTCTACTTATATCTTGCTAGTTTGAAGTTTTTAAGTTTGATTATTAAAAGAATAGCGAATGAATATTTATAAAATTATGCAGCGAAAAATAAAAAAAAGCATCTAGTACGTCCTAAACTCTACAAAATTGATTGCTTTCCTCACTTAATTTAATGTACTATAATAAGCAGGATAAAATCAAATTGATAAATAGATCAAACTAACCACATTCTGAACAATTTGATGAAATTTCAGTGAACGAATCAGTGCATGGAATAAGTGTTTCTGTGGTTGACTGTAGTTCTTTCGACATTTTCTGTTTTTGATCGAAGACACCAAGATCTCTAAAATAAGATAGTGATATTGAATGTGTGTTTGTAGACAAATGAAGAGAGAAAAGCATATGTAGAATACAATGAATTTGTGTATGCCCTTAATCTTAAACAATGTAATAAGTAAGACTAAATAATTATAGGAAATTAAAAACTATCCATCAATCTCCACAATTTTGTTGACATACCGGAGCATACACATGGTCGCCTTATTGTAAAAAATCTACTCATTCTAAGTTAAGCGGTTGAAAGTAATCAACCCAATACCAAACTTTTGCCTGCACTCTTAAAAGAATTGGCACTTCCGCAGCTAATTCGGATGCGCATCACCAAATGTCACAGTCAGAGGACTTACTATCGAGTAACAACAAGCATTTTTTTGAGGAAAAAACCCTTAGTTCGTTGTATTTTGTTTTTTGTGGTAATAATTCGTTGTAAACAATGTTAAAAATGCTCAGCATGGTTCATATAAATCACGTCAACCTGACGATAGTGTCTGGCTTAACAGGAAGAACCATTAACCAGTCATAACACACAATTACGAAACACGTGAATCAATCCATATATTTATTAGAACCGGGTGTAAATGTAACTACTGAAAACTCAAAAAATGCCCCGGTACGATTGAGGGTAGAGAGAGTCAGCTCTTTTTCTCGAAACGCTCTGACACGGCCATGCACGTACACTCACTGATAGGGAAGTCCTACTCACTGCCTTCTCATAGTAGCGCCCTTCTTCACGAAATTCAGAAGACGAAAAACGAATGTCCGACGCTGAAATCAGTTTAGTGGGTACGTATGATCCACCTCATGGAGTTGGAAAACCATGATTCAAAACCAATGGTGCACATCGGAACCACGACGCTGATGGAAATGGTCTATGCACCTATTGTTGGTCACCAACTATCATGGGATTGCATCTCCTGACGTTGATCCACTGTCTTCTGAATTAAAAATCTGGGTCGGAGGCTCGGTGAGTGGCCTCCTAAGAAAAATTAGCCACCTGTTTTGGTTTGGGCGCGTAGACACTATTCCATCCCTCACATAAATCGGATGATGAAGTGTGATGCCTCCTTGTACCAATGTTTATGTGTTTAAATAAACAAATAAATAAATTGCATTAGACGACATTGAAATTAAATTAAACTGGATAAAAGTTGACGTATCACTATTGTCAAGCTTTTAGTAGTTAGTCATTATTACCATAATATGGCTTATGGAGATTTTAAATCTCATTGGTTGATCTTGGTTGAACAACCAATGAAAGTCAGGAGGCGTTGGATATCCATTTCGTCCTATTATCAGGTCCCTCATAATGCTTATCAACAACCTCGCTGTGGATCGAACCTACGGGTTTCGAGTCTAGTGAAGAGTCCTCGAAACTTAGATCAATGAACTAGTGTCCTTCAACGGTTTGCGTACGTATTAAATAAGGAATTCTAAGGACTCTCATACTGGAATGACACCGCTGTCCAGAGCTTTCTGGTTTTAAAATGGAAAAAGCTGTGCATTTACAACGGAGATGAAAATGTCTGCAAAGTGTAAGGGGTTTTGAAAATAAACTTTGTTTAACTGTAACAATTACTCAACATTAAAACTTCATAATAATTTCTAAATAATTATAATTCGAGTATTTCAAGTATTACAATTAATCAATTAAAATAGAGGAAGATAATCAGCTCACCTAAATACTTGAGGTAAAAGTGTTTGAAATCTATCGATTAATTTAAACCGATCATTTATATAATTACTTTCTTTCTGTAAGCTAGCTGATTTTTCACTGGAAGGTTTATACTTGTCCGAAACTTTTTCCAATTCTGCTATAACAGATCGTCTGGAACAATAACGATTTAAACCATCCGTTAAATCAAAGCATGTTCTAACCTAGACAAATAAAGATAATTAAATTAAGTATATGTCATTGGAACTAAATAAATTTCAGGTGAAAATATAACTTCATATGTTTACATCAAGTAGTCACAAAATTCTTAACAGCTTATAGAAATACTCCCAACGCTACTGTCTCAGGTGAGAAATCCCCTGCCGAAGTCATGTTTGGAAGAAATATTCGGACTATTTTCAACGCTATGTTGCCACCTAAAACAGTGGATACGCACAGATGAAATCCGAATATTCGAAGTTTTAATGTGGGCAGGAAAGTGTTTTTTAAGTTATAGCTAGGGAAGAATTGATAGGCACCAGGAATAATTGTACAAAGAATTGACAAAGTTTTGTATGGGGTCCGAAAGACATTCTGGACATCCATCAGACACACGAACCAAGTCCGTAAAGATAGAAGAACGCTGCACACCAAGATAGCCAACTGAATCTACCATCAAAGGTAATCGCAGATAAATCAGTGACAGATACGTCCAAAAATACCGGAAAGAACAAAGAGAATGAAGATTTGGACGAGGAAGCCAACAAAAAAATGGAACGCTGCTGCAAGCCAATTATCGAATTACAAGCTGGCCCAAGCAGAAACTTTTATTCAGGGGAGGTGTCGGGACGGCTTCGAAAAACAGGAAGAACCCTCCATAGGCTCTAAAGGAGCCGAACCTGATAGAGCCTACTAGAATATCAACGTGACATGCTACAATCGGACAATTGTATAACCTGCCTCCTTGAGGATTAGCCGAATTATAATGATGTTATAGCCAATACTAATAACTAAAAATACCTGTTCTGACTCTTACCCAATAATCGCTTCCCCTGTTTCTTCCGTCTTTTGATTTGCAACTGTGGTATTCTACACATCCGAGTGTCGTTAGTTTTATACCGTATTCTACCGTAATCACAGAGGACGTAACAAAAATAAACGTGCATACATACCACAACACTTTTATCATCAAGATTCAAACTGTGAGAAGAAAAATTATTCAATCACATATCAATTACATTTTTAAGTCGGTTAAAAGTGTAGCCCGTTATAGTTGTATTTTAGTCAAAAAATAATTTTTCGTTCTCACAAAACAAGTGATGGTGTCTTCTGATATTTCAGCAGTTCAATGAGACATAAAGTTAAATCATATCTATTTTCGAACCCCGTTTTATCAGTATCATTAATTGTAACAACCATCGTATCAACGCATTCAGTTATATCACATACCCATATATACACACAAATGCGGCAGAAACCTTAGAGTGGTAAAACTAAGAACACTTAGTATTAGCTTGTGATGAAAGGCATCTTCAAATTACACTGTACGAGCTTTCATAAATCCATTTTATTCATTGATATTATGAATATTTGACCTATGTTTTGATTTTTTGGGGATCAAAACATCACTTACATCAAAGAAATTAGCCACACATTCATCTAGCGGAGAAATTTATCGATTAGAAGATTTATATAACAGTTGTTTAAATTAAAACTTCTGGAAATGTCAAACTATCTCCCCTAATGGTATTTTTCTCCACGTACACACAAATACAAGACTTTCGTCTAAAACTGTTAATAATTTACATATTTACATCGAAAACCATACCACTGGAAAATGGTGTTTAGTAAGTTTTAAGACAAATGAGTCATATGGTGAAACGTTTTATTTATTTATTTTAACACATAGGTATTGGTACAAGGAGGCACCAAGTACATATGCGCCACACGAATCTCAATTGATTTGTGTGAGGGCTGTGATACTGCTCGGGTGCCCAAACCGAAGCAGGTGGTTTTCTTAGGGGCCACACCTTGAGCCTTCGACCTGAACGTCTGATCCACAAGGCAGTGGAGCATCGTGAGGAGATGCACTCCCATGGTAGCCGGTGACCAACGATTGGTTCATACGCCATTTGTTCCTTCAGGATACTGGAGCCCATGTGCACCATTGGTTTGGGGTCCGGTTAAAGCGCCGGACATTCGCTTTTCGTCCTCTCATTTTCGTAAACAACACCCCCGCCACGAGAAGGCAGTGAGTAGGACTTCCTGGCAGGGGCTATGTACGCGTGGCCATGTGAGAGCATTTCGAGAGGGAGAGCGGACTCTCCCCACTCTCGGCCGTACCAGGGCATTTGGGGGCATGGTGAAACGTTAAATAACAAGAAATTTGAATATGTTTTCGAAATCATCTATGATTCTCCCCGTCCCCATACAATGAAACTACCTCTCAACTAATTAAATCATATTATAAATTGTGTAATCTCAAGTTCGTTTAACAAAATTTGATTGTAACTGAACAAACATTGAGAACGAGAAACTACTGCACAACAGTCTTAGAATTGAATTTCCAAGAAGTGAGTACCTACCAAGCCATCACAAGATTAAAACTCTTTTAAACTAAATACCATTTTGGACTTGATAACTGAATAATTATATTTATTAGCACTTCGAATTTATTTCATGCCTTATATTTTTACAACCATTCCGATTAAACGATAATAGCGAGACTCAAGTGAAATAATTCAATTGTATTTTGTTTGTCAAGGTGGTTTTTTCAAAAAGGTCTTCAAAAAATGCTAACAGATAAACAAAGTTGAAATATGCAAAAGTTATCACCATTCATACTCAATCGTTGAAGTTGATAAATTAGAATATATCTTAGGTTTATTCAGTTATATTAACATGTACAGACTAGTATACTTGGCTTTCAGCCACGCACTAAATGTGACAATTAACGATACTACTCGGTTGCCCGAACTGAGACGTATTGGTTGAAATTTAAGCGCCTTAACCATTGATCCACAGTTCACCTATGAATATATCGAGGCATTTATACAAAAAGTTAGTGTATCAACAGAAATATAAATCAATTTGGTCTAATAGATGAATAGTAAGAAACTCCCAAATCCTAGCCTATCACAACATTAAAGCCAAAGATTACAATTACAGCACAGTTTTGTTAGACAAAGCGTGACCCTATAATAAAAGGCATCCGAAAATAAAAAAATCACAGTACATTTTTATGGAGAAACCTACCCTGGAAGATCGACGTTTTTCAAGTCCGGCAGTAGTAGTTAAATCATCATTTGATGCCTCAATATTTAAATCACTTACATCATCTTTCATTGTATCATATACAGCATCAACATTTGGTACTTTTTCAATATTCAAATTTACAGCATGTTCAATATTATCATTCAATTGTTCACCAAACTTTAAATTAAGAGAAGCTGATGATGATGTAACAGTGTTATTTGAAACTTCATTTATCTCATTAGGAATTGATTCAAAATTAGGTACATTTTTGCACAACAATGATGATAAATCAAGAACTGAATGAATTGCCTAAACATTAATTTAATAAATGGAATAATTTAGTTAAGCCATGTGTAAAGATTGATTAAAATTGAAAATAGATTTCATCATGAAAACATGTCATCTGGAAAATCATTAAAAACAATTGACCAGTTCAGTCAGTTCAGCCATAAGCAATGTAGAATCTGGGACATAGATACATTAGTTCAAGTCCTCACATCATGTTGGTAGATGCAGACTACTTAGTTGGGGTCCGCGTGACTATCGTAACCAATGATTGGAGACTCTGGGTGACATGGCTCAGAATCGATCACAATGGCGTAGGTGTATAAACTCTGTCTTCCTTTAAACTAAGAGATTAAAATCATTTCATATCTTTCTTTCTACGAACTAATTCGTTCTTCCTGTACTATGTCCTTATATAGAATCTTTCTTTTATATATTACCATCACTGAATTAACTACTTCTATGAATCCGGTGTTCATCTTGTTGTACTAATGAAGTATGGCAATTTGGATCGATGCACATATGTGCCTGGCCCTACGTTGTTGTTAACTGACTGATACCATACAATCACAGTGAAATAAAAATATAAAAACAGATGTCAGAGTAGTTAGATGTAGTAACATTATAAGCGGTAGTAGGAAAAATAGGGTATAAACAATATAATTGACGAAGAATTGACAGAGTAAGAAATTATAAAATGATTTTGAAAACATAAGATCTAAGAGAAGATAAAGGAGCACATGTATTAGTACCTTTTTGACAGATTCTTAACCTTCAATAACCACTTTACCTTGAATTCTGTGTTTCAGTAAAAGAGCATTAAAATAATCATGATAATTAGATAACAACATTCAATCATTGTTTTAATGCAAATAAAGAGAGAAGCAATCGTACATCAAAGTTTCGATAGCAAAATAAATAAATAAAGTACTTACTGATTCTGAGTTTAAACGATCGTACATTGTTATTGTTTCTTGAATCAAATGTAGCCAGCTGACAAATAGGTAAAAAAATAGAAATGTCAAAAGAAATAATCGCCATTATCATCAATCTAGAGATTGCTCCGTTTGAAGATTGTTTACATCACTAACTACTTGTAAGCAAAGGTGAATAGTGGCAAGCATTAGAATCCATGACGCGTGTTTCATTCATTCATTTATTCATTTTAACACATAAGTATAGGTACAGGGAGGCACCAAGTACATATGCGCCACACGAATCTCAATTGATTTGTGTGAGGGCTGTGATACTGCCCGGGTGCCCAAACCGAAGCAGGTGGTTTTCTTAGGGTGCCACACCCCGAGCCTTTGACCTGAACGTCTGACCCACAAGGCAGTGGAGCATCGTAAGGAGATGCACTCCCATGGTAGCCGGTGACCAACAATTGGTTCATACGCCATTTGTTCCCGCAGGATACTGGAGCCCATGTGCACCATTGGTTTGGGGTCCGGTTAAAGCGCCAGACATTCGCTTTTCGTCCTCTCATTTTTGTAAACAACACCCCCGCCACGAGAAGGCAGTGAGTAGGACTTCCCTGGCAGAGGCTATATACGCATGGCCATGTGAGAGCATTTCGAGAGGGAGAGCGGACTCTCCCCACTCTCGGCCGTACCAGGGCATTTGGGGGCCACGCGTGTTTCATTCTATTTGGGACTCGTCAGTTGGATGTACCTGCATTTCCGAGTTGATGTTCAACTCTGGGACAATCAATCCAGTACATGTTGTCCACTTAGCTAATGAGTCCTGACAGCCACTTGCTTGTGAAAAGGCGTGAAGTTCCAGAGCGGACATCAACTCTGAGATTGTTGGGGATGTTAGATCACCAGAACTCACTTGGTAAATGTCTTATTTTTGTAATTCTACTTTAAAAATTTGAATTTCTTGTTTTGGCGCCAAAAGCACCGATTTCCACCTTCATGTCGTATTCCCCACGTGGGAGGATCATAAACGCTATCGGTTCGTTGTATCTTTTAGTGTGCTATTTTGTAACACTTTCCAAGGACATTTTTATGCTGCATATATACGCTTGAGTTGTATTTGTTGTGGTTGTTCGTACTTCTGGCTGCTAGTGGAACATATTTCCCTCCTCCGAACCTGGACTTCTCTCGCTATTTGGCGAGGCTGGGACGCGACACAGTCTTCGTTCTGTTCTCACATTGGGTGAACTCGTAATCTCTCCAAACACAGCAGAGATGCAGGTACATCCAGCTGACGAGTCCCAAATAGAACGAAACGCACGTTCTGGATTCCTACGGACACTGATTGCCAACTGATTGGGTGTGGATTGCATGGATTGGGTATCATTACATAAATGAAACAATGGAGAGAGGTGGTTATATCCCCCCACTGTCTGAGGTGTTTGTATATAAGGCCTTCAAAAGGTTCATAAAGTTCTTAGGCACACCCTTCTCCGGTAAACAATGCGAGAGGAAAGCCCTGTTCAACGAATCAAAGGGAGCTGTGACACCAAGAAACACAACGATTGCTGACCTGTAATAAGTATGATGGTGTTCTAACACTTGGACGAGGGTGAAGATATGATCAATTCATACAATATATATTACCTATTATGAGCTAAATATAATACTTTGCACAGTCACAGTATTTTTTTATGCGATAGGGACAGTTGGAAGCAAGGCTGAGCCCCTTCCACTGTGTCCGAAACTCCCATCAACATAATAACAGGAATGAGCTAAAAGAGAGATATCAATGAGTAGTAAAAATGAATTAATCCACTGACCTTAAATGTTTCAATGGAGATGGGAATTTAACCAATGGAATTGTTCGTAGTTCTGTTTCAGCATCTTTTTGTCTACGATATACTATTCGAATATTCTGTATTTCTTGATCAATCTAAACAAAACAAACATAATATAATGTGTAAAACTATAAACTACGTATAAGAACGACATGAAGGACAGTACACAACAACTGATACTAAATTTTCACTTTATCACCGACAGTCAGTCATACTTAGTCATAACCAATGACAAACCTAGCACATATATGCAGTTGAAGATGATACACCACATCAGCACAGACAGACAAACCTCAAAATGAATATCACAGCGATAGTAGCAGTAGCATCAGTGATAGCAAAAACTGGACAAAAAGGCTATGACATGAGAAAGAAAAGTAAATTAATAATATGAAACTAATACAATAATTTCGAAGTTCAGGATCTAGAGGAAGACAAAGAGTAAGTGTATCTACTCCACTGTGATCGATTCTAACCCGTGTTATCCTACAACTCCAACCACGCTTCATAATCACAGATAGTACCCTAATAAGTAGTCTGCTTTATCACCAACGAACAAAGGTTATTCAAAAAGGATTTAGATACTCTTACAGATAATTTCTTCATTAACTGCCATACAACAGTAAAGCAATTAGACTGTTAGTATCTAAAAAACTTTATGGATATTAGTAAGCTACTGAAAAGGTTAAGTTTTATAACATATCTCACAATCTACTGTAAATCCAAGTAAATTCTTGAAGAAGCTTGGATCAGATTGCCAGGCGAAACGCTGAATTTACTTCAAATTCATTCGCTGAAATTTTACAAATACATTCTTCTTCTTTAGAATTCTTATGGTTTAAATCACAAGCTGATTTAAGCTATAAAAACTCTACAGTCTTCATAAATCCTCCAAGTACTAGTAATAATTAGATTTGTTTTTTTATTTTTTCTCATATATATATAAATTGAAATAGTACATTGTATAAATTACTGTTGAACGTTAAAGAAAAGATTAATCCTCTAAGTCATAAAAACAAAATAGAACTTGGTATAAATATTCTTTGACCCACGTCGCCACGCATTACACCATTGTAGAAAGAGAAAACCAAGGTAAGTAACACATGTGGGACATTAATAACAGTATCAATGCAAGAGTGATAAATCAACGATCATAAAAATATAACTTGAAAATAAGGAATGAAATTCAAAAACAAAATACACAATAATGGAACTTAAAATTTAAAAGATCAAAACTGAATACTGTTTAGCTGTATGGTAAATGATTTTGAGCTATGTTGCTTAAACCCTTCAACAATAAATGCCAATTCTTATATGAAGTGAAACCAATAAGTTTACCCATAATAAATTTTACAATAGATAAAACGTATATCCATTTTTTCTTAAAATTCATTAATATGACATTTAAAATATCAAATTTACCCGTTCAGCTTCATCATATGACGGTAATTGACTCAAAATATCTGGCCTAAATAAATTTATATACAGAATTAGAAAATAATTATTACCTTTGCAGGAACAAATCATGAATCATTTCATGTAAACTTGGTTGAATTGTAAGAATTCGATTAATAAAATAAACTGCATATTCACTAAAAGGATCTATTTGTAACATACGAACTGATAATTCTAAGCAAACTAAACGAAAACATACGTAAAATGTTGAAACAATAATCATTAGTATGTGGGGGTAAAACTAAAAGCAAAATATTGACAATAAACAACAATAGTTTAAGCTTCTAGGAGAACGTAAATGAATTTTGTAGTGTTACTAATGAAATTCATTGAAAAAAATACATATTCATAAGTGTATTGTAGATTATGACAAACATTGAATTTACTCTACAAGTATTCAATTCATATGTATAGTTTTATCTAATAATTCATTGAACTAACTATTACTTTCATGGACACATACTTCAAAATTTACTCACTTTATGGTAACAATAAAAAAAGCCATTTATACGGAAGCAGTAGATAACTTCTCTCTAGCAAGATTTCAAAGACTAAATCAATCTTAAGATGAAAAGATCTATTGGGGTTCCCCCGCGTGGGTTCGAATCTCATGCCCTTTGCTAAAGTTTGCTATGTTTGAAGAGAATACGAGTTCACCTAATCTGAAAACGGAATGAAGACTCGATGACATAATGACAGATAAGCTAGCTATTCCGATGCGTCCCAGCCCTGCTAACTAGAAAAAAAGTCCAATTTCGGAAGAGCGTAATATATTCGACAATCAGCCAAAACCATGAACAACCACGACAAGTCTAGTCGGTAATACACTTATTTATATATTGATTCGTACACACACTTTGATTAATAATTAGGATGAAATCAAATATATAAAAAATACTTACGGTTATAACAAATCATATGCTGAGTATAGTTCATGTCAATTGAATACAAGAATAATGTATGTTATACAGAATAAAATGTCATACGGGGAAACAAAACCGAAAACTACACGGAATAATCATCACACTGAATTAAAAAAGACGGAAGTAATGTTGAACCAAAAATCACAATGAGTCAATCAATCTAATTTTAACTTTTCATCTTGTTATAACAAAGATCTAAAACATTCGATCTCGTCTGATGAAGATAATTTAAATAGGTACATTTACGGTAGATATATCATGATGTACTAAGTAGTCAGTGGGATCTAACTTAAAGACAAGATAAAATATGAAAGTACTTTTCGTAAAAAGAACATATCATGCATTTTATATCCATAGATTTTTATCAAAAATGCACATGTAGCAATATAACAATGTTTTTGATTATTACTTCCGCACCATACCTTAACAAGTGACATTGGTTGACGCAGGAATAGGTTGGTAGAAAATCAGGAGGAAAAATCCAGTCGGTTTACGAAACTATTGACACTTAGCCTGAATCATGTTGTCAGATATAAACCACTAAGTTGGGATCTGCATAAAAATTTTGACCAATCGTTGGAGACCTTATGTGATATGGCTCCAAATCATTCATGAAGGCTCAGATAAATTCATTCTTGAACTCCTCTTAGATTCTGCATGTTAATTAAATACTATATTCCTTGACTTCAGTTATTTTAACCACTTTCTCAACATGTGGTGTTTTTAACCACGACTTTTAACTACTTCATTGTCATTTGTCTGCCTAATTTATTCTCGCTATGATGACTTGGTGTGGCGATTTCGCACAGGGCATCTTTGTGCTAGGTACTACATTAATTGCATATGAAGTGAGATGAATCACAAAAATACGAGTGCATGCATCCATATGCTTACGATTTTATTAAACTTATAAAATTTCATATTCAAGTGTACAGTTTAACAGCAAAAATTTCAGTTAAAGATTTCTATGTAATAAGTAGACATGATGCCTCACACGGGAAAAACTATTTGACTCATTACAGTAGAAAAGATTTATGGATGAAAAGTTACATATATAAATATAAATATATATATATATATATATATATATATATATATATATATATATAGCGTACTCTCTAATTCAGAAACTGCAAAATACAGTGGCAGAGCCAATTGCAATGCAAGTGGATGAGAAGGCCTTTTTGTTAATATATGATCTATTGAATTGATAGCAACTTCAAAGAAACCTGAACGAATAGCAGCACGAGCTAGACGTATCCAAAGACTTAAATCATTTGAATCGACTTGTAAAGCCTAGGAAGAGAAAGAAAATAAAAACAAGAGAACCAAAATGTTGAACAAAATTATTAAAAATAAAAATAAGTGATGTATAGGAGGTAAGTGTTAGTATCATCAAAATAACGCACCTGAGGTTAATCAAAGTCAGAAAACTGTTTCGGCTCCACAGAATATATATACATATATATGTCACCACAATAAATAAAAAATCTCATTGAAATTAAGAACTGACCTAAGTCAGAACAGCATTGGAAACCTGGAAACACTGGACGGTCGTTTCGTCCTAGCACAGGACTCATCAACAGTGCACATACAATAACCCGCCACAGAAGATCGAACTTAGGACGTCTGGTCTTACGTGTAAATGCGTAACTTCTAGACCACTGATCCGGCATACAACGATGTCTAACCTCAACCAACCCACAACATTCTGCGACCATAATCGGCTTAACTTTAAAAACTCATATTCAAGTTGATCAACTTATCAACAACAGTCGTCTCCCAGCACAGACAAATACAAAATGTCATTGGTTCAGCATGCCCCCAGAGAAAAGAGTGTGCCAATCAATAAGCGGATAATTAATTTATGATTAACCGACAAAATACAAGAAAGAAACTATATGATTAGAAAAACCAGTTACTCATGAGTAATACAGTTATAATACACAAATCTCACAAGTGGAGTTAACGAATCCAATGATACTTTTTATCTTACACTGACATCAGCTGAATAGCCATCAATATAATGATTAACAACTCCACACTGACTAATAATTTACTTCCATATGGATATTCTAACAAAAATCTGTAGTATATAATAAATGATAACAACTAGTCAGAAAGCGAAAGTAAACAAACTGCAGAAAACTCATGGCAGTCAAACTACCGAAAAGAAACATTTCTGAAAGCAATTGAAATGCATTCTATTACACTGAGTATTTATGTTTTGACATATTAAACCCGGTACATAATTATGAACCTTAACAGTAAAGAAAGTATAAACACATTGATTAGTCTTTCATCTCCAAGATTTATGTAATTCAACTACTTTTTCATTCATAACAGAAAACAAACAACTAAATACTTGAAATACTTTATCCTGTAATTTGAAATAGTTAAGAAGACAAAATTTATAGTAATTCAATTATGTAGCTAAAATCAAAACTAACAAAGTACTGGCTATACATTATAAATATTATCACCGACTGAAGCTGTCTCACCAATCATTTAAAAATGTAAAACTTAACCGCTGTTTCACAATGAAAAAGCTATAAAAAATTACTATTACTTTTGAAAATAGCGTACCTAATCATAATTTTGGTTACACACAATCATAAAAATGTATAAAACAATAGCATGTGTATTTAATATGTATAAATATTCAAAAGACCTATTATTATTGTTATCATTATTATTATTACTAGTATTACCTTACTAAGTAGATCAATACCTTCAGCATCTTTGTTCAATTTGAAGTAAATACCCCCAAGTAATTTACAACTAGCAAATTTTACCGATGCTAATTGTGGAGTTAATTTCTACAAAATAAAAGTTAAAATCAAATAGAAACATAATATCCAACACTAATTTGACATAAAAAGATAACATCTACTCAAAAATGTTTGTTTACTTATTTATTTGAACACATAGATACTGGTACAAGGAGGCACCAGATATATATGCGCCACACAAATCTCATTTGGTTTATGTGAAGGCTGTGATATTGCCCGGGTACCCAAACAGAAGCAGGTGATTTTATTAGGGGGCCACACCTCGAGCCTTCGACCTGAAGATCTGATCCACAAGGCAGTGGTGCATCGTAAGGAGATGCAGTCCTATGGTAGCCGGTGACCAATAATTGGTTCATACGCCATTTGTTTCCTCAGGCAGGATACTGGAGCCCATGTGCACCATTGGTTTGGAATCAGGATTTTTCCACTCCCTTAGGTGGACTCTTTATGTCCACCAACCCGGTTAAAGCTCCGGACATTCGCTTTTCGTCCTCTCATTTTCGTAAACAACATTCCCGCCACGAGAAGGCAGTGAGTAAGACTTCCCTGGCAGAGGCTATATACGCGTAGCCGTGTGAGAATTCCGAGAGGGAGGGTGGGACAACCCCGATTTCGGCCGTACCAGGGCTTTGGGGGGGAACGCGAAAATGAGATAATTTAAATTTATAATCACAAAAAAGAGTTGAAATACTCACTATTTCATAATATTTATCACAATTTCAAAGTATAAAGATTATTATATCAAAGTAGATTCTTTGCTCATTGAGACTTTTAAACGTTATTCTCAGGAATAAAACCAATTACCTTCACTAAATAACAAAAACCTATTTCATGAAACCTAAAAATTACAGTAAACAACTAAATAAATGTTATATTCTCATTTTTAATAGCTACATGCGGTAAAATTCCCTCTCCTATAATAAAAGTGGGAAGATTTTCTGGTGATACAGTATAATTACGACTAAGACATCCAATTTTATGACTAAATATTAACCATTTACACTTCTTAATTCTCCGTTACGACAACTCTACTGATAGAACTTACAGCTATAATTGATCCGGTTTTACAATTTATTGGAAACGTAAAAAGGATATCAGTAGTATCCTTTTTGTTCACCAATCTAAGTGATGAGGATATATTCTTCAAGATCATTGTACACTCAACTGACAAATTCCAAGAAGTACGAAGCCTAAATGTATGCCCTTCAGTCATAAGCATGTTATCATGTAAATTTATACGTATAACAACTAGATAATAGCGACATGTTACACTATTTAATTCGTATATTATGAGTATATAATAAAGACGTATCAACATTTTGACAGTACAATACTTTCCAACAAACGGTGTTAACTTGAGATAATATAAATAAGTATTAGAGATCAAATGATCCTGAATGACCGTTACATTTTTATGACTAGACAAATAAAATCATATTTACAAGTACTTACAGAAGGAGGTGAACTAACTAATGTCGATGCTACTGCGAATATATATATATATATATATATATATATATATATATATATATATATCAAGGTACTTGGTATACATGTCATACATACAGAACTACTTGAGGTATTAATGTCCCAAGATTATGAATGCACATCACTGACGAGTGACAAGTAGCACGAAACCTATCCTGTAGACTACCTCCCTCGAAATGCAAAATGTTGTTTCAGGATTGGGTTGCGTCGACACCCGAACTAGTGATAGGGAGTGAAGTAGTTGAGAGTTTCGACCGCTTCACTTATCTTGGAAGTCTCATCAGCCCTTGTGGTCTAGTGTGTGACGAAATCTCAGCACGGATACAAAAGGCTCGACTAGCTTTTGCCAACTTGCGTCCTACTTTATGGCAGTAAAGCATGGCCAGCAAGAGTAGAGGATATTCGTAGGTTACTAGTATTCGACCATAGATGTCTTTGAAACATCGCTCGTATATCCTTAGACCACCGAGTAAGTAATGCAGTTGTTAGGAAACGGGTACTAGGTAAGGATGGTAAATCAATTGAGGAAGTAGTGAAACGTAATCAGTTGAGATGGCTGGGACATGTGTTGCACATGCCCGACCACCGACTGCCCTGACGTGCTATGTTTTCTGGTGTAGGAGTAGGTTGGAAGAAAACTAGGGGCGGCCAGACCAAAACATGACACAAATCCATGAAGTCAATGACAAGTGGACTGAGCCATGTTAGTAGGTGTAGACTACTTGGTTGGGGACCGCGAGATGATAGCAACCGATGGTTAGAGATGTTGAATGACATGGCTCAAAATCGTTTGCAATGGCGCAGTTGCATCCACTCTCTGTGTTCTCCCAAACACTAATCTTCTGAATTCTCCATGTCCTTTATTTTCTTTCCAAATCTATTCCACTGGATTATACTCCTTAAATAACATCATCAAACGCTAGTGTTCCCTATCACTACCTCTACCACTATGGGGTTTGAATCGATAACTGAATCTCTGTGCTAATGTGGTATGGCAACTCGAACTGATGTACGTACGTACGAAGTTCCACGTTGTTACTGACTGACTGACTGACACATACTACACCAGATGGAGGTCATTGAAAGATAATAACGGTAATATTTAAATAGAAAATGTTGTTATCATTGATTTTATTTAGAATTAAATTAACACTGAGACGGGATTTAAAATTCGGATCAAATTAGTAGTTTACTCCATAAAATTAAAAATATACAAGGATAACGACTGTTGAAACAAGTTTTGTGAATATCAACAAAGAAAGTAGCATGAAAATAGCCACGTATATCATCACTACTAAACTTTGAGTAGAATAACAGTTAACTTGCTATTGTAATCGGGATGAAAAAAGTCTACTTTAGGATAAGATCGCCCCAAATCGCTCTCGCACGGTCGAGGGTGGAAAAAGTCAGTTCTCCCTTTCAAAATGTTGTCACATGACCACGTGTATACAGCCACTGACAGGGAAGTCTTACTCACCGTCTTCTCGTGGCAGGAGTGTTGTTTACGAAATTGAGAGGAAGAAAAGCGAATGTCCGGCGCCCTAGAAAGTTCCATCAATGTGAGAAGAAATCGGTGTGAGAAACGATGTCTTTTCGTCATATCCGCAAAGGGCTCAGTGGTCCAGTAGGTTAGGCGTTCGCGCGAGACTGAAGGCCCTGGGTTCGAATCCCGCGAGCGGGATCGTGGATGCGCACTGCTAAGAAGTCCCACAGTAGAACGAAACGGCTGTCCAGTGCTTCCAGGTTTTAGCCCCCAAATGCCCTGGTATGGCCGAGAGCGGGGAGGGTTCGCCCTCCCTCTCGAAATACTCTCACACGGCCACGCGTATACAGCCTCTGCCAGGGAAGTCCTACTCACTGCCTTCTCGTGGCGGGGGTGTTGTTTACGAAAATGAGAGGACGAAAAGCGAATGTCCGGCGCTATAACCGGATCCCAATTCTATGGTGCACATGGGCTCCAGTATCCTGAAGGAACAAATGGCGTATGAACCAACTTTTGGTCACCGGCTTCCATGGGACTGCATCTCCTCACGATGCTCCACTGCCTTGTGGACTAGACCTTTAGGTCAAAGGCTCGGGGTGTGGCCCCCTAAGAAAACCACCTGCTTCGGTTTGGGCACCGGGCAGTATCTCAGCCCACACACCAAAACATGATGAAATATTCGCTTACGGAAAATATTCGTTCTTCTCTGGCTAACATTGAAATGACTGATACTATTATTATTATTATTATTATTATTGTTATTATTATTATTATTATTATTATTATTATTATTATTATTATTATTTACTACGTCATTTACTCACTATCTCCTATTTCTACTTTTTGTATCCGTTTCGACTCAGACAGCAGCTCGCCTATGGTAAAAATTCAGCTTTATCTAAACGTTCTCGAGTCACTGCCTGGTTTGAAAATTGTATGTTACCATCGAATAAGAGTACTGAAGCAGTCTTTCTGAAACCACGCGCACCATTCAAACTGGCTGCCTTTAACGTTCGCACACTTATGCAGGTCGGACAACAGATAGGGCTGGCAAAGTCTTTGGAAAGTCTTAATATTGATGTGTGTTGTCTATCCGAGACCCGTATTCAAGACTCTGGTGAAGTACTACAAGTTCGCTCTCCATCTGTCGCTCCAAAAAGCTTGTTTTACGTGCGTTTATCCGGGGACCCTGTGGCATCTTCGTCTGGTCTTGCTGGCGTTGGTGTCGCACTAAGCGCAAGAGCTGAGGCAGCACTAGTCGACTGGATCCCCATTAACAGTCGGTTATGTGCTGTTAGATTAGAAAGTACCATCAAAGTGAGAAGAAATCGGTGTGAGAAACGATGTCTTTTCGTCATCTCCGCCTATGCCCCGACAGATTGCAGCCCGGATGCAATCAAGGATGAGTTCTACCACCAGTTATCTGTTCTTCTCCAGAAAGTGCGTTCGACAGATATTGCAGTACTAGCTGTAGACTTGAATGCTCAGGTCGGGCGTCTAGGCACAGAAGAGAGTCGTTTAGGTGGCCGATGGGGACTTGTTGGTCGCAGGACAGATAACGGGGAACGTCTACTGCAACTATGCACAGACCACAACCTGTTTCTGGCTAGCAATAACTTTCGGCACAGTCATCGCCGATGTGCCACCTGGCGTCCCACTTCTGCATCTCAAGCCTGGACTCAGATTGATCACATCGCGATCAGCTACCGCTGGCGCGGTTGTGTACAAGACTGCCGCTCCTTTTGGAGTACCTATATGGAATCTGATCATGCTCTGGTCTGCGCCAATCTTACCTTACTTTTCAGTGGACAACGAAGTGACCACCACCAAAGGATTGATGTTAGCAAGCTGGTTGCAACTTCTGTTGCTAGTAAGTACCGAACCGAGCTAGCTTCTAGGCTAGCTACCATTCCACCGAAAAGTATAGATGAGCATTGGTTGCAATTGCATGACGCCATCAAAATGGCAGGTCAAGTCAGCTGTGGGATTGCGAAACGTCCCGCTTACAAGCACTGGGTTTCTTCTGGTTCCTTACAACTGATTGAAGCCCGTCGGTCTACTCCGGGTGACCGTGAGTTTGACCACAGACGAAGGTTGTTACGTAATGAAATTGGGCAAAGCTTGCGTAAGGACCGAGAAACCTGGTGGTCGGAGCGTGCCAGTGAGTTGGAAGCAGCAGCTGCATCTGGTAATTACCGGAAGCTCTTCCAACTCATCCGAGCCACCGGCAGCAAGAAGTCTGGTGTGAGCGAAACAATCTGCGAGGATGACGGAACGCCAATCACTAACATCCATCGACGTCTTGGACGATGGGCAGAATTCTTGGAAGGGCAGTTCAACTGGCCTGCTGCTCCGGCAACATCGGTCAGACTGTCCTGCCCTCCATGGCCGGTGACGACTGATCCACCAAATGAGGCGGAAGTCCGCAAGGAACTCCAACTCTTGAAACGTTACAAATCACCAGACCAAGACGACTTACCCCCGGCTCTTTTTAAAGATGGTGGTGACTTTCTGACTAAAGGACTGACGACGTTGTTTACAAAGATCTGGGAACTAGAGAGTGTACCAACGTCATGGAATGAGTCAATAGTTGTCCCTATCTTTAAAAAGGGTTCACGTCGTTCCTGTAACAACTATCGGGGAATAAGTCTACTTCCGATTGCGTCCAAGCTATTGGCTTCCCTCATATTTCGTAGGTTGCTCAGAACCCGAGAAGGATTGACTCGCGAGGAGCAGGCTGGGTTTCGTTCTGGTCGAGGATGTATTGATCATATCTTCACCCTCCGCCAAGTGTTAGAACACCGCCATACTTATCAAAGGCCAACAATCGTAGTGTTTCTTGATATCAAGGCTGCTTTCGATTCGTTGGACAGAACTGTTCTCTGGGATTGTCTATTGAAGAGGGGTGTGCCTGAGAAGTTTATTAACATCCTAAAAGCCTTATATACAAACACCTCAGGTAGAGTGAGGGCATACAACCACCTTTCTCCACTATTCCATTCAAGCAGTGGAGTTAGGCAGGGTTGCCCAATCTCACCATTCCTCTTCAACTTTGCCATCGATGACATTCTGGAAACAGCTCTGACGGATGTAAGTAATGGTGGTGTGGATCTGTTGCCTGGAGAAAGACTTCTCGACCTTGAGTATGCGGATGATATTGTCTTACTGTGCGAGAATGCCCA